TTTTAATCACTTTTTTGTTTGCCAATGATTAAATAAATAAAACAGCAAGCTTCACTTTGAAACGACGGTCTATCTGTGTCTGAACATATGTGTCTGTCCGTGTGTATTTCCATACATATCATTCGTTGGTGCCACTTGCTTATGAATTTTGATTTTATCTTTCCTAAGACATATTTCAGTATAAGTGGAATAAATGTGACAGACAAGGATCCATCAACACTGATCATACTATTACTATTGTCCATAATTACAAAACTTTATCAAATTGTTTATGTATTGTCGAAAGAATATGTTTAATTCATTTCGTATAGTATACTATCTTTGTTGATTGAATAAAGTTTGGTTAAAAAGTTGAAAACGAATTGATTTCATAGTAATGCCAATTGTTGTGAATTGTTTTTTATAAAGATAAAAAGTGATGGAAATTTGTGGATGTAAATTAAAAGTTTTAACAAATGTTTCACACTGAATTTTCCAACTGCAACTATCGTATTCAAATTTTGCTTTTTTAGTTACAATTTTCATTTCCATTTGAATTTTTCGAATTATATTCCTTTTATTCAACGATATACGAAATCTAATGATAATTGTTTTATTCCTTTTATTCAACGATATACGAAATCTAATGATAATTGTTTTATTCCTTTTATTCAACGATATACGAAATCTAATGATAATTGTTTTATTCCTTTTATTCAACGATATACGAAATCTAATGATAATTGTTTTTCTTTTCGTAATTTCAACGATTTAAATTATTTCAATTTCTTATTTAATTTACAGGTGAAGGTATTGAACTTCGATTAGTCATATTATGATCGTTATTTAGTTCCACACTGCTAATATTTTCCATTTTTTTCTTTTTAATTTTCAAATCTGAAAGTTGCCGAAACTGTATCAATCAGCTCAAAATATTTCATTCATCTCTGCCGCTACTCTTTATGTGATTTCGAAGTGAATTTTCTTCGATATTATCATCAAGCTGCTTGGAATTTTCCTGAAATTTTATGCAAGATTTTCAAGCCTGAAACAATATTATGGAAATACCTAAAATAATTAATTTGTTGGCAAGGTGGAGGATGGATTTCACGATCGTTTATTACCTCATTGGCTATTATTACTGCTCATCGATAGTAATGGTATCAGGATTTAATTTAGATACTTATGCACCAATCTATAAAATTGGTCCAAATAATTCATATTTTGGTTTTTCTGTTGCGGAACACTTCAAAGAGAATCTTCCTGTGTAAGTTTTCTCTCTCTCTCTTTCTCTCTCTCTCTCTCCCTTTTTGCTTCTGATTTATAATTATTTAAAAAAACAAAGGAAAATGCTTGATAAACACATTTTTGGAGGAGTGGACAACAGTTAAAATAAATTATGTTGAAATCTTTAAATGTTGAATTCATCATTTTGCAATAATAAAATGAGAAAGTAAAATAATTAAAAAGTTATGATTAAAAGATTAAAATTACAACAAACTTGAAAGTAATAGAATTACGATGATAATGTCTGATTGGAAGTTATTTCAATTTCAATTTCTAATTCTAATATAAATCATTTTAAATATAAGCATAAAATTTAATTCCTATTCCTTTAAACTCGCCGAATTTTGCCTCTTTCTTTTTTTTTGACTGTAAATTTTCTTTTGATAAATGAAAGTAAAAGTGTGTTGTATGAGTTAAATTTAATTATCGGATCATTTCTTACCTGTTCTTACCTGTTCAGCAACTATCTTTTTTTTCTGAAATAAATTGGAAAACCGGAAAATGAGAGAATTATAAGAAGTGATGTTTGATTGGAACGTCTCATTTATGAGACGAATAAAAAATAATCAGAGATGATTATTTCACGATAACTTTTGCAATTAATTTAAAGCATTTTAAATTTAAAAACTTAATTGAACTTTTTGCAGAAAGTGAACTGTAATGAAAAAAAAAGAATGAAATTTCTTTAATTGACATTTTTCTCTTTTAATTGTAAATGGTTTTGTCAGCAATAATCAATGATAACCCATTGAGACACGTAATGCCATTATCGTTATCTGTCTCCAATGGGTTGCCATTGATCAGTTAGTTCTAATTTTTATTTTATTTTGATTAATTATCGAAAAGCTCTTTGAAGTTTTCTTTGTTAACTTTTCATATTGCTAAGATGAAAAATGTGACCACAAATAATACAAATATCATACATTCATTATATTCAAGCAAATCCTGAAATTTAGATTTAAATTAGTTTTGAAAATTTACTATAAATAAGTATATTGGTCACATCCATTTCTTTTATTCGTAATCAAAATTTTATTCATTCCTGTCCTCATACAGGAAAAGGAAAAAAGTAACATCTCTTTTCAAGTTAGCAAATGTATTTTGTCATTTTGATTTAAGATATGTTAGAATCGGATACTTCAAACATTATAGTGACAGTAATTTAAATGTTCGAATTTTAATATTTTCAAGAAATCTTTATTGACACAATGCTTTTACTTTATCTTTCTCTCTCTCTCTTCTTCTCTTTCTTTCTCTCTCTCAGAAAAATCAACCATTTTTTTACGGATGCTATTGGCTAATTCGTTGTCAGGTAAGAGAAGAGAGTAGAAGTAATTTTAGATTTTAAATTTTTTAATTAATTAGTTTGGGGAGGTTAAAAGCTGCAAAATTTTCAATGTAACGATAAATAACACTTAGCTTCTTTTTTCAGAGATAAAAAAACTATCATATTGAAGATTTTATGGTTTATTATATAACCTCCTCAAAACATGCTTTATTATTAGTTAGCAATGTTTTATTACTAAAAAAAAGTTAATTTGACCGTTCTCCATTTAGTGACTGAAAGTGACCAATCATGCATGCTTGGTCACTTTCGAGAATATACTTACCGGAAACAGCGAATGTTATCATATTTTATGGTAAAAATTGTATATATAGCATTACTGACTAATATTTGAAAGAAATGTCACAATCTGTCTGTCATATCAAACCATAAATTTTCATAAGAAAAGAAAAAAGACGGAATTGTTGGGAAGTTTTTCTTTTGCTCGTTTTTTGTCAGAATGTCGTATAAGTTGAAAAATGTGAGATGTCGAAATTAGCCTTCCAATTAATTTTCATTGTTTACTTTTTACCATATTCATTTAATATGGCATATATTTTGAAGGACATTATATTGCTAATTTTTAAATGGAGATTTGTAAAATTGTAATATTTTCTTCTATGTCAGATCATGAATCACGACTTATCTCTCCTCATATCAGGAATCATTATTTTCTTTTCAACATATCACGAATCATACGATGAAACAAAATGTTGACAATATTTCTTGGATTTCTGTTTGACTATAAAAATTGCTTAACTTTCACAGTTTTAACAATTCAATTACGCGAATACATGATAAAATAATTTGAGTTTGAAGATGGATGAGAGACAAGAAGTTTAGGAGAGAAGGAGAAGGAAAAGACGGATAAGGATGGCATCATTTTCCGAATGTTTATGAGAAGGATGGCATCACTTTTCCGGATGTTTATATATATATATTGCTGCGAGATTTCAAACTGATTGTTAATAAACTTAAAATTCTTTGTTTACATATTAGTAAAAAGAGGCGGAAGGATGAAGAAAAGATAACATTATTATGCATTCATCTTCAGTGTTCATTTCAACGGTAATTGAAAAAAATAAAAATTTAAAGTTGAAATTAGGGGAGAAATTTTCAGGTTTAATTTATCGAAATTGGTACTTTCTAACTGATTTAATGGGAAAATTCAACATTATAATAACGAAGAAATGCTATTAACAATCCTTTTGCATTTGCCAATTTAAATATGTTAAGGGCGCATTTCATCTAAATTTCCCAGAATAGCCGTTATCAAATTTTTAGTCCTAAGGCATTCATTCATTCATCACAATGCCTCTCGAAATGACACATTAGGCTTGTGAAAGCTTTTTATGTGCACATTATATTGGCAAGGTCACATTGATGTACGACAGACACCATGACTTATTATATATAAATATATATATATGTGCGCATTCCTCATCTGCTAAATATCATTCCACAAAAGAATTATTGGTGAATCTTTCCGGAAGCCATCAGAGGCTTCAAAATATTTGAAAAATAATTTCTTGTCATTCTTGTGATTTCTGATAAGTTGCACAGGCCTTAATAAAATCAATGGCATTTTAAGCACTGTGTGTGTGTATGTGTGTGTGTGTATGTGTATGTGTGTGTGTGTGTGTGTGTGTGTTGTGTGTGTTTAGTAAAGTTTTGCTACAATGATGTAAAATATTCGTTTGCTGAATGTATATTTCCATTCTTTCCTCTCTTCGAATTACTTTTCGCGCACACATAAAAAGAAAAGAAAGGAAAAAAACAATGGAAGAAATACTGTCATTAATCAGACAGCGTTTAGTTGTAATATTTCATTTTGCAGCAAATAATATAATATCAATGAGACAATAGCGCTTGTTGGCCTCTTTTCCGCCATTCTATTGAAACTTTAATTATATTTTTGCTTTCTTTTTCTTCTGTTCGACAGGGAATGGTATGAAATATGAATGATATTATTAATAAATATAATTTATAATTAAAAAAAAACAATATAAAGCAATAATTAATTTGCAACCAAATTTAAATTACAACAAGGAGAGACTTTTGGAAAAATTTATACATTGTAAATGAAATGGATAACATAAAATAATATAATTAATAATTTAATTGAAATGAGCAATAAAAAAGTATTAGTGAAAATATTACTTAAATTAAAAAAATTTGATAAAATTTTATTCAATTAATTTAAAACTATTTTGAAAGGAAAAATGAATTATATATTAGGGGGTGTCAACAAGCAAAAGTATTCATTTTATTTTTTTGAAATAAATTATAAAAATTTCTTTAACAATTAAATATTATTCTAAAGCATAGCAATAGCAATTATTTGTAGATAATTGAAAATTGAATGAATTAAAATAATTTTTCCTATTAATTTCCATTTATCTTTAAACAAATGATACATTCCAGAATTCTTGTTGGTGCTCCGAAAGCAGATTCAGGACAACCCGGTACCGAACATGCAGGAGCTATATATTCATGTCCAATTACAGCTCGTTACACTTACAGGTAACCAACTATTAGTGATAATTGATTTTAAAATTGTTTAAATTCTTTACGAAATAACTAAATTGGATGACACTCTGAATGGATTGTATTAGTTTAGTAATTTGATTGAGAAGAAAAAGTTTCGTGTCAACAATTATCTTTTCCTCTGTCCTTCCAACCACATATGGTTCATTAATTCATTAATCATTTCTATAATATATACCATCTGTGTTCATTTATAATGATAATGTCGCTATCATATCACCTGTTCAAAAGTACGATATGTTGGTTTTATTATTCATTTATACCACTAATATAAATATTTATTAATGATTACCTTAATAAATAGATGCTTTTTTTTTAATTTGTATAAATCATCTGTATTCATTAATAACGATAATATGACTATCAAATCATCTGTATTCATTAATAACGATAATATGACTATCAAATCATCTGTTCAAAAGTACCATATGTTGATACTATATATTTTTCAAATTATTTCATTCAATTTTATAACGTTCAAAACAAACAATCACTTCTGAAATTAATCATTAATTAAACTCTTATTATTTAACTTATCATTAAAATATAAGAAACATTCTATTTTATCACTAATCCTTATCATATGTTAAATGAAAAAGTCACTAGTAGAAGTGATATATTTGAAATGATATAATCGTATCGCTTAATCATATTGAACTCTTATGAAAGGTGAAAATTTCCCCTAAAAAAAGAAACTGAAAATATTTCTATTTGAAAAAAAATGCATTAAATTTAATTTTAATAATTTTTTTCATGGATTTAAAATTTTTCTATTTTCTAAATAATTTCAACATTTCGATTTTTGTCAACAAAATAGAAATGTCATTGTTGACACTTACAAACACATTAGAAGTAATTTGAGGGATAAGTAATAGTAGGCCATTCACATTTCTTGTCAACCAACAATGATGAAAAAAAAGAGAGAGAGAGAGATGGTTAAGAACTGGAATTGAGTAATGAGTGAGGAGTGTGATACGGTATGCAAATATCCGATAGTAATTGACAGACATTCTTTGACATTTTTCAGATGACAAATCTTCTTTCTCATTTCCATTTAATGCAAATAAGCTATTGAAATAAATTTGAAATGATTTATTTAGAATGCAAAATGCTAAAACCATAAACATTCTATTGTTATTTTGCGATCATTGAATTATTTGCAATAATTTATTTCTGAATTAATTAATTGAAATTGTCGCTATAAATAATATTATTACTTTTTATGTTCACAAATTCTATCTAACGAATAATTCAAAAAAAAAAGAATATTATTATTTTTTAATTAAAATAATTTATGGCAAAATAAGTACCACTAAATAATGACACCCATTCAGATAATAAACAATTAACATACTAAAAATATTTCATATAAATATAAAAACTTTGTATAATTAATTATCTTAGTACAAATATTCTATCCTCAAAATTCTTATTTAAAGGATTTTCTTTTTTTGCATAAATAAATAACATTTTGGTATATAATTTATTTTAGTGGAAATGTATTTTAACGTTGTTTGTGAAATTTCAAAGATTATAAATTTCGATTTCGCTTACTGTAATGATTTCAAAAACAGTATTGTTGCTCATATCACTTAGCAATAAATAGTCGAATTTTGCAGTCTTAAACTAATTTAATTAATGCTGAATGAAAATCACCTTTTATTTTAGTGATAACACAAATGCTAATGCAAATTTTGGTTGGTGCCAACAGGAAAATGTTGAATATGGCACCATTGATCAGATGCATAAACCGGTAGATAGTGTACTTGGACGACAATTGCATTTTCAAGGCAAAAACAGGCAATTGTTAGGATCAGTAGTTGCAAGTGCGGGAATACCAAATGGAATGGCTATGGTATGTGAACTTTTTTGACCTTTTTAAAATCTGTTTTAAATTAAAAAAATAAAGTTCAAAGAATATATTAAATTAGAACTAAGAAATGTTGAGAGTGGTAAACTAGAATGTTTCTCCGAGTGATTTGTTATCAGAAATTATTCCATCATATATCGAAAATTCCTAAATTTTTTTCTTACAGTCATATAAGATGGTCAATAAAGCGGCTGCTAGCTATCCTTAGGAATGAAACTTTAAAATTGAATATTTTGCCGAATAAAATGATAACATAACAGTGACCTCTGCTTTTATTTATTAAACATAGAATAGATAAAATTTGATTAATACATTTTTTTTGATAAGTAATTCCAATTTTCTTTTAGGCCTGTGCACCATTAGTACGATACCATAATAGTTCAGCTTACACGGATGGTACTTGCTTCGTACTAGAAAGTGACCTTACTCAAAAGGTTTTTTCATTTCATTTATTTATTTATTCCTATATAAGAAAAGTAAATAATTAAGGATAGAATTAAAAGGTTTATTTATTAAGATTAAAACTGTTGATGAGTCATTGAAGAGACAAATAATTAATGATGATTCATTGTGAGTTAGGCTATTAATAATCAATGGATTACTGAAAACATAAGAATTTAATTCCTCTTTTCACAATAATCAGTTTTCAACAACGATCGATCATAAAGCTGTCAAACTTATTTATACTTTCAAGGACAAATTTATTTTTAAATAAATGTTTCGTTACATTTCGATGCCAATTTCAAAAATGCCATTTCATTGAAATATAAAATAATGATTTATAGGTGCCACTTTTTTGTAATATGCAATGAAACATCAAATTTATAATTTCAATTTCAATTATAGAATGGGAACAATTTTTTAAGATAGTAATATCCTAAAATGATTTCCGTTTTCTTCATTCGGCTTATCCGGATATACATAACACTTGTCTAATCCTTTGATACTATCGGATGTATCATATCCGATTATTATTTAAAGCTATAAACATTCAAAAAAATCATCAAAAGCTATTTTGCTGAAGATAATTCGAAATTATTTTGCTTATTTGAAATGTGTAAATATAACTTAAACAAAAAAACTGTGGAGCTTTTTTTCCTTGATAATTTGTGTTTAATATCATAAAATTGTTCCTTTGTTTCAGAATTAAATTTTGACATTTCAGGAAATTCTAGTATCATGCTCACAACCAGGTTTACCCCGAACTGATCGACATAATGAATTTGGTTCTTGCATGGAAGGTTTTAGTGGCTATGTCGATGAATCGATGGTTATTACAGGTTTGTTCATAATTATTGATTTTATAAGATTTTTTTTCGAAATTTAAAAGATCTCCGATAATAGCAGAAGTCTGTGATACCTTCTCATTCCGTCATTTTGATAAGCAAAGTAATCAGGTTAACTTGGAATCATTATCTGAAAATTTTCTTATTTTTAACTATTAGGGTTTAAAGGTCAGTTAGTTATATGAATGTTTTTTTCTTTTTTGTTTTGTCTTTGTTTTTTCTTATATTTGCCATTTGTGCTGAACTCATATCAATGAATTTCTTTTTAAGTTTATTTCAAATTGTTTATTTATATTTACATTAATTGTGCTATCATTCTTTATTGCTATCATTTAGGCCTTTCTCCTTTCAATTAAATAATATTAAAAGGCCATTCCTTCCTTAAATCTTGCAACTGTTAATGCCTTTTTTATAAAAGGAAGAAATTAATTTTTGAAACATTGATGAGAACTTTTTTGCGAGCAGTTTTGGCAAAGAATTTCGAGTAATAGTAATTGATTAATTATGTAATAATGAAATAAAAATCAATTAACCACTAGCCAAAGGTTAAAGTTTCTTTTTTAATCCTTTTCAAAGGAATGGAAAAATGTTTAAATTATAATTTAAAAGCTGAAATTATTTTTTAAATAAAAAATTGAAAGCTGGAAAATTTCAGTAAAAAATGATGAAAAACATTGTTTTTAAAAACTATTATGGTTTTACAGGTTTACCTGGTGCAAAGAAGTGGACAGGTGGTGTATTTGGACGATACTATCCAAAGGATATATTTGCAATGAATCGCGATCGTTGGACAATGGGTGTAGATCCAAAATTGCATGGTGTGCGATCAAAATTTCAAGGGCATGATTATCTTGGATTTTCTGTACGACATGGACGTTTCGGTTTTTGGTAATTTAAATCTGAAATCTTATTTAATTTTTATTTTCTCAGAAATCGCTTCAACAATGCAAGGAAAAAAGAATGAATTTAAATGGCAAAGAAAATTAAAAGTTTGTTTCAAAGCTGTGTTTTTCACATTTTTTGAAAACTTTTCGGTAAAATTTCAAATTTGCAAAACTCAAAATATTATTTGTGAAATATAACTTTGCGAGCAAATTATTACTTAAGAATTCTTCCATCGTTAAAATATCAATTATTATTTCGTGAGATTAGAAGTTGACGAAAGTAAAAAAAAAATGTCGGAAATTTACTTTAAGCCAAAAGTGAAATTTTAGATTAAAAACTTCTCAAGTTAATAACTTAAATTACTTTACCTACTGTTTCTCATACTAAACTTTTATTTATATCACCAAAAAAACATTAAGTTCTGTTAGAAAAAAATTGTTACAGTTGTATGGAAATGAATTATTCGTTGTAAAATTTCCCACAACAACGGAAAATTTTTGCACAAAGATATATTTCCCACTGAATGCCTTATTTTACGTAAACTGAAACTGAATGATTACTTAAATAATTATAAGTAATACTTTAACTTATCAGTAAGAATATGAATTACACTACATTCTTGAAAGGATTATTTCTGATTATTCTACAATGTTGTTTAATTTATGTAAGAAAAGACTTAAGTAATCCAGGTCGAGAACTTTTTTAAATTCTTGCATTGATAAGGGGATATTATTCAATCTAAATCTTCCGTATAGTACTTTAAATTAAATGGCATTATCTTAAAAGTTAAAAGTATACCTAAAATGTTTATCTTGTTATGTCACTCTGCCTCGATCATTCCGAATTTGCCGGAATATTGTAGATTTTCTTCTGGTTTCGAGAAAAAAAGAGAAACAGATTATTAAAGGTTCGAAGATAAGGATAATACGACAATTGTGGCTGGTGCTACGCGGTATAATCAAACAGGTGCTGTAACTTTTCTACCATTTCGTAATGGTCAATCTCCAAATTCTCAAGCTGCGCACTATCTAACCCTTACCGAAGATAACTATATGCTTCAAGGTTCACAACTTGGCTCAGCATTTGGTTATGCAATCGAAGTTACCGATCTTAACAATGATGGGTGAGCATTTTGTTTCCTGATCTCAATTATTCATGTTAATAAATTAATAATTCCTATATCATATACTATTACATATGGTTGAATAATGCGAAAGATCTGTAATTTCAGGTTCGATGATTTGTTAATTGGAGCACCATTTGAATATTCAGAAACAGTTGATGGTTCATTTGGTGGAGCTGTCTACATATTTTACTCATCCGGAATTCATCGTGCACGTCATGAAAACGGCAATGTTTTCCTAAAGCCAATTAAAATTGGCGGTAAAGGAATTTACTCACAATTTGGTGTGGCAATAACACGCCTGGGAAATGTGGACGGTGATAATAACAATTACAATGGTAAGATTCATTCAATACTTTTTGTGCTAATAAAACATACGAAACATACGAAGCAAATGGAAATAATCGTTGAGCCAAGAAGATTAAAATATTTAGATCGATGAATTTTTTTTAATTTATAATAAGAATCATTTATATTCTCTATTTGATTGGATGGAATAATTGATCGATTATAAATTAGCTTTCAAGAAACTGTAAAAAATCCATTTCAGAAATTTTACACAATTTTTTGAAAGCTAATTTATAATTTTATTATCGAACCATTCATATGTGACGTATATTTTCCAGATTTTGCTATTGGTGCACCGTTTGCTGACAATGGAAAAGGTGCAGTCTATATTTATCTTGGTGCAGGATCACCAGATACTTTCAAGCTTGAACCTGTACAGGTCATTATTAAAGACCTTTTTGGGAAATCTCGATAGGCAAACTACTTCTATAAATGTCCATTTGTTTATGCGATCAATTATTTTTTTCAATTGATCTATTTTGCTCATTCATAATTCAATTTCCTGGAATAATTTAGGTGATAACAGCAAATAAATTACCGCAGCAATACTTCAATGTGGAACCGTTGAAAACTTTTGGATTCTCATTATCTGGTGGATCGGATCTGGATGGTAATGGTTACAATGATTTGGTTGTTGGCGCTTTTGCATCTGATACGGTTATCGTACTTCGAGCCAGACCAGTAATTTATATTAACGCTCGACATCTCGACAATGACATGAAGATTGATATAGACGGTGATTCGTCTTGTTTCAGGACTGCCCAAACATGGTATGTACATTGTAACAGTAAAGTAAACATTAATTTAACTTAATTTCTAAGCGCCTTTAATTTAATTGAATCAAGTTTTTCTCCAACTACAATTAAATATAATTTCAACCATTCTGAGAAATTCGCTTGAAAATATTGCAAATAAAAGCATTCGTTCATTTCTTCAAATATATCAAGAAATTAATGAGCAAATTGGACAGATTGAAATTTCATTCTTATTTATTATTCAGGTTATTCCTGTTGTTCATTCATATAACTATTTTCCACTTTTTCGAAGAGTAGAATTTTATAATTTTTATTATATTTTATAGTTTTTCGATCAGTACGGAATTATCGGTGGATAAAACAAATATAAAAAATTCATCGAAGTTGCTAAATTTTGATACAGATGTTTTCAAATGTATGCTTGAGGTTAATTAGTTTTTTCAACTTTAATTTTCTTTTAAAATACTTGTTCTGATGGAGTTTGATATACTTTAGTCTTTTTTTTTAGCAATTACTTGCAAAATTAACACTTTTAATTAGCAAGAAATGTAACTCGAATATGTGATATCAAAATTTGGGAATGATACGGATAGATAAAATGCTTCCGGAATTATCAAAGAATCAAAAAATATTCCGTCCATAGCAATTTGTTGAGAAACGAGATGCGTTGTTATATTTTTGAATCGGACGGAATGTTTTTAGTATTGATTTTTACTTCGAGCGTCATAAAACATTTTGGATTAATTTTTCAGGTCATAGCAATGAGTTCAGGAGTGGGAACACGAGCACGTATCCTTGAATCACGTAAGGAGAATTACACGTGGAATTGTGGGCGAGGTGCTAATAAAAAACCACAAATAAAGAATCATAAACTTTTTATTACAGTATGTTCAATCCTCTTTAGTACTTTTCAACATTTCTAGATGTTCAAAATTCGAATAATTTCCAGTTATCTTGATTTTTGTTTGTTCAATATCTTTTTGGAAAAAGTTATTTATTAATATTAAATTTATCTTAAACTCGGTTGTACTTTAATTTCATTAAGGTATGAGAGAATATAATCTTACCTTATTTTTCAATATTGTCCTATTTGTAGGCTTATTTTGATACTAATATTATCATCGAAATATTCAGTTGTTATTTTTGTAGAATACAAATAGCGATTGGATAAATCCGATAAAATTGCGATTTTCTGTACGATTACGAAATGAAGCGATTCCACAGATGCCGCGGAATGGTGGCAAAATAGTTAATATGAATTTATATCCTGTACTGAATAAGTATGGATCAGAGGATACTTTCATCGTAGGCTTTTTTTTGTTTCCATGGATTTCACGGATTTTATGGGATGATATAATTATTAAGAGATTTGATTGTATTGATAGTTAGGATTACAAAGTTTGAAAAAACTTATTGTATTGTTTATAAGATATTAATAATTTTTGCTTATTTGAAAAGAAAAGTTTCAAATAGTTAGATAATGTTGATAATAGATATTCTTGATATTTCTCAAAGTTTTTTGGCTTAGAAGAATTTATTCATTGATTCTTTGACTTACACAACTTATTATCTTAAAGTAAGTTAACATTCATCTGATACATTAATTTTGTTATCATTCAAAAGTGAATTTTTTTTCACAATTCAAACTATTACAGATACATTTCAATCGGAAATGCGGCGTTGACAATGTCTGTACAAGCGATTTACAACTACGAGCGGTTCTACCGGGAATATCGTAAGTATTATTGATGTGCATATGTTGAAAATAGTTGCGCAATAAAATTCAATTAATTAATTGCAATTCAAATCTGTTCATAAAATTAATGGTGCTCGATTTTATGTTATATAATTTATTGTTTATTTTGTCATTTAAACTTTTTATTGAATTTTAGAATATGAATAGTTTTTTTAGCCAAGAAGAGGATGAAACGTATATAACACAGGTAGGCGAGAAGGCAACCATTGATATATCATTCTCGGTGAGAAATAATGCTGAAAGGGCCTATGAGGCTACACTATTCGTAGAATACAATTCGGATGAATTAGATATTCCAATTTTAAACAAAAAAGATAGCCCTGTTAATATTGATGATTTCAAAGGTAATCTTGCAATCATATCGATTGGAAATCCGATGGAACCAAATAAGCAGGTTTGTTACTTACTTTCAATAATTTAAGTAATATTATTTGTCCTTATCTGCTAATAAATAATACTGAATAATCAATCTCCGAAATCTTCTTGGAAATTCTTTGAGTGTTGGTATTTTAAAATATTTCCGATCAAAAATGAATTGAATCGGACATGAAATTCAAGTGTAAATCTTAGGAAGTTATTTATTTGCAAAAATTCATAAATACTTCAAGCTAAACGTTTCCAGTTGAAATTCGAGCTTAGTTTTCGGATAGCACGTGGACGTACGGAAGGTTTGGGTAAACCTTTGGAATTTCGGGCTTTTGTTAATAGCACAAGTGATGAGAAGAATTTGGATGATAATTTATGGAAAGCTGTCGTACGCGTTATCAAACGAGCTGAGTTGGAACTTAATGCTATTTCTGATCCTGCCATTATTAGGTTGGTAATTTTTTCATGAAGGTTTTTCATTAAAAGATAATTTTGTGCCAAGTATAGAATTAATTGGAAATGAAATTTCAAGTTAAACTTGGAAAAAAATCAAAATATTATGTTAAATGGGCAAGCTTTCTTTTTTGTTTATAATTCAACTGAAATTTTTAACAGTTATTATGCTAATTAATTAATCAATCACACGATACACATATACATATATAGTTTTGGAACTGATATAGCGATGATACAGCGATAATTGGTAGGTAGTATATAAGAGGATATATGCGCCATTCCTGTTTGAGTACAAATGAAATAAATTATTTCATTAGTATTGGGTTTGTCAGAGATATCTCATTCAAATCCAAATGAAATAGTTGGCCCTCAGTTGAAAATGTATTAAAATTTAAATTTCAATTATTATTTATTCATTTTCAGGTATGGCGGCGAAATGAAAGGTGAGTCAGAGATGGAATTTGATGCAGATATTGGACCACTTGTTGTGCATAAATATACCGTTACAAATAAAGGACCATGGTCAGTGTCAAATGTCACCCTTCAGGTCAGAAATATCAAACTAAATTCATTACATTCATTTAAACCAAATCTTACCTTTATTTTTAAATCTTCAAAGAAAAATCTTCACTTTCAAATATCAAATTGAGAATTGTGATGCAAATTTCAGGTTGATTGGCCTTATCAGGTTGCAAGTGTTTTCACGACAGGTAAATGGGCATTATATCTTATGGAAGCACCAATAATGCAACTGACTAATACTGATAACAGTAAAGATGTCAAACAGTGTACGATGGTTTTACCACATGAATGGATTAATCCACTACAATTGAAATTTCTCATGGAAACTGAAAATGAACATTACTATGAGGAGGAGAGTATTCGTGATGATGATGTAAATGAAGAAAGCCTTGAAGACGATGATATCGATGGCTTAAATCGAGTTAAGGTAAGCCTGGATCATAATCTACTGAGCTTGAATGACGATTTATTAAATGAGATGCAGCGTACTTCGTAACTTACCATATTATTAATATTATTTTAATAATAATTATTATTACTATTACTATTTTAATTATTATTGTCATTATTTTAATTACTATGGTTGAAAATTACTTTTTAATATTTCTTGAATCTTTATATTGATGAATATTATATCATCGCTACTGTGAGGTCATTTAGTGTTATGACCAATTCTTTCTCATTTAAAGGTCATTTACGGCGGTACAGTTTCTTAGAAAAAGAGTTTTACGATGGGATCAAAAAGTATGTTTAGTTCATATTCCTCATAATAAGTGAGGTCATCTGATGAATGGCTCGACCAGAATTTGAATGACGGAATAATAATGGATTGTTCGATTTAATGATAATAAAAATGGCACTGTAATAGACCAGATGAGAGATCTTCCTCTGGCAATAACTTTAATAGCTTTTCTTCTTATCTTATCTCTTCCTTTATTGTTTGCTTTTCATTTACTTGAAGTACTGAAGTTTTAAACATGTGACAAAAGCGCCAGTAATATACTTGAAACAAATATTTCCAAAATGTTAGATAATGTTGAAGTTCTTTCAGCGAGGAGTTGAAGAATATCGTGAAAAGAGACCATCTCGAGAATTGCGAATAAAATCGACGAAAATTCGTGAAAAATCAGGTGAAGAAGTTGAAATTGTCAAAGTGGTGAGTTTGTTATTTGTTTGAATTACTTTTACTTCTAACAACGATAAGTTTTTGTTGTAGAAGTAATGACAATTATTATTTGTTATCAACCGAAGTTTTAATTTAAATAGGAATCTCAAAAAATTTTAAAAATTTTTTAAAGGAATTTGGAAATATAATATTTGATATTGTGAAGAGATAAAAAGAGACGAACATATCCCACTTCTCAAATATTTTTAGTTCAAAGTGGAAAAGTTTCATTTTCTTTAGGATAAAGCGTAAAGTATTACATAAAAGAATTAGATGAAATATGAAATAGAATTGCATAGACAATTTTAATAACGCAAATATATCTCTCTTATTTGAAGAATTGTGCTGACAAAACAGCAAAATGCTTCACCGTCGTATGTCATTTCGATTTTCTGGATGTCGATGCTGCGGCAGTGATAGATTTCCGTTCTCGATTATGGAATGCCACTTTTGTTGAAGTGAATTTTTCAATTAAATCAATGAAGCTAATTAATATGCCATTCTTTAATATTGAATCATTTATATAATAAAAATATACAAATTTTTAATGATTGTTAGCATGAATTTCAAAAATTTAACCTACACAATGGAATAGGCAATGTATGCATGTCTGCCATCCAGATATTTCAGCAATTAATCAATATTGCTATTTCTTAACGTTGCCTACTTTTTTAGGATTATTATGATATAGCATATGTTGAAATTTTATCATCCGGTCGCTTAATTTTGGATCAAAAGCAAGGAATCGAAGAGAGAAATACGCAAAACAATTTTGCATCAGCATCAACTCACGCATATCCGGATCGGCCAGCTATATCGGAAACGGCACCAATTCCATGGTGGATAATTGCTGCAGCTGTTCTTCTAGGTCTACTAATTTTATTCATTTTGATACTCATTTTCTGGAAATGTGGATTCTTCAAACGGAATCGCCCACATCATCCAACACTCTACCAGGCGGAGTATCAATTTCGGCGAGAGGAAACAAGTGAGGCATAGAATTATTCGGATTCTAAGCATTCTGCAATTCTAACATGAATTTGTTTTTTACAAAATTTGCAAGTTTTGAACGAATTGATCCTTTCTAAAGAAATGAAGAAGTAAAATCCGATTTCGTTATTTTTTTATATTTCCCGAAATGGGTAATTTTATGCAGACGGGTTGACAATCGTAATTTGAATTGTTATGATGTGATAATACTTTATGCTTATCAATGATTGTATATTTATTAAATTCTCATATATTTCTCATACAATTTCTGCACTCAACAAAAATTTTTTAAAATCACACTTTCATAAACTTTTAAAACTTGCAGTTATCTTTTAAACTTTTCAAAGAAAATTTCATTGTTGAAAATTTTGTTATTATTTAGTTGTTGTACAATAAGTTTGCCTCTTTTTGACTTTTTTAAATTATTTATTTAATACTATTTACCCGCAAAGTTAATTCATCGTGCTTTTTATATAATTTCAATTTTTGATTTTTTTAATTTTAATTATTAGTTTCTTATTTCAAAGATATATTCGTTATTGCTTCGTTATATGAAAACGGTATGGAACGATTTGAGATCTCAATGCTCATTTAAATCATTTTAAATGAAAGAGACTATTTAGGATATATTGAAAGTATTGTAATTTACCTGAAGTCAGGTGAATAAATTCAGTAACTTCTGTGTTTTTCAGTAATTATATACGGTTTACATTATTTTTAAATTTGAATATCTTTATATGAAGTAATTGATGAAAAATTTCTTCCTTCTAAAATAAACTCTTAATTTTTTTCAGGCTCTCATTTTTTGAATTGAGATTACATTTATTGCAAAGCTTTGAAAGTTCCATTTCATGCTGATCAATATCATAAATAACTAATTATATTCGTTCATTTTTTCTTTTGCTCAAATGATTGCCAATCAATTTTATATTATTTAAATTCACGGAGTGTAAACAATATTCGGTTTATTACAAGATGGCATAATATTAAATTGATTTGATAAAATGAAATTTGGAATTACAATTAATTACAACCATTTTGTATTAATGAAATTTTGGTTGCCATATTATGTCAGTATATATTTTTGGTGCTTTTTCATATTTTTATTGTCAATTTAATTCTTACATTCACTTTCTATATTTATATTTAAATATTATTTCGTTTATATGACGCCTTTATTGTTGAAATATTTTTTATTTATTTTATTCACTTACATATATGTATAAATATTTGCACAAATCATTTTGCTATTACATTGTTTTCATATTTAATAAATGATAAGATCAATTTTATCATCCATTTTAAGTTTAATCAAATTTCAAAGGAAGTCCCAATGGAAATGTTAAATTTGACCTTTTATCATTAATTCATCCTACTCAATTTATTCAATTATTTTGTTCTTATTCAACAAATTTAGAATCCTTTTCTACTGATAAATAAAAATTAACACTGATAACAAATTGAGTTTTTTATGAAATACAAGCAAGTAAATGGCCATGTGATAGTAATTATTTACTTGCCTTTTTGCTATATACAACATATTCATGGACCTATTTTAATATTATCCCGATAATAAGAACATTATATTTTCCGAATTTTTTTTGATTTCAAATTAATCCTCGTTCTGTTTTTTCTTAAGCAAATGGTTTGTGAGAGATAATTTAACTGGCTCATAATTTAAATTAGCATAATCGATTAAGTTCTAGGCTTTTAAAGAAGAACAATTGATGTTGCCTATATGTTTGGAAGAAAATAAAACTTTAATAAGAGTGATTGACATTGTAAACAATAAATATTAAGCGATGAAAATTAATGATTGTCAGAATGGATAAAAATTTCCAATACTTTATGTCTATAATAATTTTTCACTTTCAATGAAGAATGAATTCAAAGTTTCATATAAACTGAATTTCATTAAACTTTAAGGGAACATTTTTTTATTTCCTAAATTTGTTTTCCGGAAAATGTTAAAGGTCATATTCTTTTAAAATGAAATGAGTAGGAATAGAGGAAAGAAAGCGAACGTTTCATTTGTTATTGTTGACGTTTCATTTGTTATATGTTAACATAAAACAATTGTGAATCATTTTAATTATTCATCGAATGAAAACTTTATGGTATTATTATAAATAACAAATCTGTAAATATGCTTTGTGAATATTTCATTTTTCATGAAAAATTTCCATTCGTTTAGATTTCTAATAATTTGTCATCCTTTTTTCTTCGTTTTTCAAATGTGAAAGTTTCATCGGAACAACAACAATACATTACATTAGGGATTCGCTCCTTGCGGATATTGACGTTCAACTGGCTACAAGCGAAAATTCTAAAGCAATGATTCCACAATGCTTCTTGAAGGTTACGACCTTTGTTCAATAAAAAAAAGAGTTCATAATGTTACACCGATATCATTACTTTTTCCCTTTTTCTTCTTTTCACCCTTTATTTAGTTAGACGTGGTATTTTTTTTTTTAAATAATTAAATTATTATAAAATAATAAATAATTGAATAATTAAAACGAAATGAGTCAAGGTAAAATTAATTATCTCTGAATTATTCATTTTGTTTAAATTTAAAACAATTAAAGATTTACCAATTTATTCAGCGAACAGAATTATTGTCTAAAAAAGAATATAAATGAAAATACAGTAAAGTTACGATATATATTTGTACAAGTTATTATCAAACATTTTTCTCATTCTTTTTCTCTCTTACAGTAAGATTTAGCTTCTTAATTATAAGGCTTTAATTTCCGGATGATGCCTATTCGAAAACGGAAGAAAATGATAAAGTTTTATTTTTATAGTTAAAAGAAGATTCGCTTTCTGTAAGTCATTTTTCACATTTCATCGCTTGATTAATCTTTCCGTTTTTTTCCTTACATCGGAAAGTCACTTATCATCACATAAAATGTTTTGTAATTGTAAATTACAGCGATTTCTCAAACTTCAAATAACAGATTTTAGAAATTTCAACTCTGAAACGATCTGAATTCATAGAAATTAATCGATGCATTCATATCTAAACATTTTACAACTATGAAATACCTAAAAAAGTTATTCAAAATATTCCTTTCAAAAAAATTCCTCACTGTCAATTCATTTTTGTGGTCAAGAGTTATAAGGATGTGATGATGACCAATGATTGGACTACTAAGGATGTGATGATGACCAATGATTGGACTACTTTATCAAGTCTATATCTTTGATCATTTTTATTAATAATAGCTAATAAGTAGTTCAGATGACACTATGAAAAAATCTTTAAATTCCCACGAAATAAACCAATAATTCGCTGTTGCAAATTACACCTATCAGTTAATCAAAGATAGGTTTTTATTAAATTTATTGCTAATCAAAAATAAGCCTAAACTGATAAGCTAAAAAGTATGTAATAAATTTTATTTTCTGATTTATCAATTTTTTTTTAATTTAAAAGTTTTAAAAATGATTCATTCATATTTTTAAATGAATGAATGAATGAATATTGTTGAATTTCGATCGATTTCCTCCATTAATCTCAGTTATATCTTTCAATCATTTTATATATTTTTTAAATTCATCCTCTTCCTTTCTGATTTTCTTTATCCCTGTTGTATCATTATTTCCCTATTTTTATTTTCTTTTTCACCTACTATTCTCATTATCTTTCAAAATTTTCACTTCTCTCTGCATTCCTGAAATTATTTTTTACTATAACGAATTGTTTTGGATCTGTCTGCATAGATGAATGGTAATGGAAATTGACTGCAGAAAGCTGTAGAAATAAGATCTTAAACCATTCTACTAAGTTGCATGCTTTTGCATTCTATTCCAAAGTGCAGCTTAACATTTCCCTTGCAAGTTTGCATTCTCCTCCAATTTCTTTACTATTCCATCTCCGTGCAATACAATAAGTTTATCTATTTTAAAGGCCTTAGATCTATTGTTTCATTAGTGATAATCGGTGGCGGTGCAACTTTGTTAATTTTTATCAGTCTTATCATCTCATTCATAACTCTTACAATCATTATCTTTAATTGTTTTGTACTATAGAAAACTGCGATTTTTATTTAATGGCATAAAATAAATTTGTCCATTAATTTATATTGCGCTTTTCGAAAAATATTTGTTGATTAAATTCATCACTAATTAAGAGACTTATGTTTGTTGAGAAAAGAAAAACAAGAAAGAGAGAGAAAGAGAGAAAGAGGGAAAGAAATATTCGATTTTTGGTTTTAATTTTAGAATCGATAAAACAATACTTTTTTCATTTATTTTTCGAATTTATTACTTTTTTAGTCGTATCACTTTTATCACTTTATCACTTTTTTAGTCTTATCACTTTTATCACTTTATCACTTTTTTAGTCTTATCACTTTTATCACTTTATCACTTTTTTAGTCTTATCACTTTTATCACTTTATCACTTTTTTAGTCCATCATTTTAAATCCATTTTTGATTTCAATTATTTCTCATTCATTTTCATCTCTTCCCATTACTAATTTCCATTTTATAAACATTTTATTTTCCTATTCTAACTGATAATATGAAATGGAAGATGAAAGTTAAAAAATAATGAATTCATTTCTATAAGAGCGAGCATATGTTACAGTTTTCATAATAAAATTTAGAAGAATTTTTTCTCTCTTAATTTTATAAGCTATTTGTAAATTTTACATTACAGTAAAAATGAATGATTAGAATTTTTTGCTTTCTTCAAAAATTTCATTGGGAAGATTTTTTGAAGAGAATTTTTAGTTTAAAAGAAAAGAAAAATTGAAATCATTCATTTTCATAATGAATGACTGTCGTCATACTGTGGATGGGATAAGTTTGTGTACCATTGAAACAAATTTTTTGATGAAAATTTACAATGATTTTGAAGCATTCCTTTTTTTGTCCCAAAAGTATTTTGATGAATTGATGGAAAAGAAAAGAAATTGGCTTTTCAAATGTAAAATTAAAATTTGTTGAAATAAACTATCATATTGGTTGAAAGATCGCACAGCGCATGCGAAATAGTAATTTCATTTCCTTTGTTTTTTAAAAAAGGAAACTGAGAAGGGAAAAATTTTTAAAAGATAAATTTTGAAAATACTATCCTATGTTGGTGCCAGTCATTTATTGATATTATCTGTTATCAGTGAAATTATCTCCCAGTAAAGTTACGTTAAAATCTGATATTTTTCCAGCTTCTTAACAGTTATTTCGTTCATTTTTTTTGAAAAAAGTGAAAAATTTATCAACTAATAACATTTCGCAATGTGGAAGTATTAATTATTAATATCGTTAACCTTTCTTTGATGGGGTTAAAGTTAAAATTTAGTGAGATTAAATGCTAAGGATAGTAATTGCAGAATAATTTGATCGCGTGTAAAAAAGGCCTCTCACTAAAAGCCTCTCGCTTAAAAGGTGCGATATATGTAACTATTTATTGCTACTGTCTTTTGATTTAATTATTCAAATTTAACAAGGGTCATTTTTGAATTTCATTATATCTCAGCAAAATTGAAAGAACACAACAATTTAATTTATATTTAAACATTAAGTTTATACTGCTATGCTAATTTCAACAATACAAACAAAAGATATATTTCTTTCAAATTAAAATTTGAAAAATTTAAAATGAAAAAACACCGCGATACTGTTGACAAAAAGAATAAGGGATAACAATTAAAGTTTTGAATGAAAAAGAAGAAATAATATGAAGGAAGGAGGAATGGAAGCTGTAAGAAAATATATAACAAAATAAATTTTAAGTTAAAACTATTTCAATGTCTTCATTAATCATTCATTTTTAAAGTTTCACCTAATTATTGAATTCCCAATCAATTGGTTTTACATATATTTTCACCTGTCATTTTTTGATATAAAAATTAGCAGATTTTAAGAGATGAAAGAAAAAAATTAAAAATTTTAGATGTGCTCTCATCCTTCGAAAATTGAAAATATCGAACAATTATGTGAATCGAATGTTAATCATCCGTGTTACAACATCCGGAAAATGACGAATCGTAGTGGAAGAAGTGAGAAACGGAAGACAACAAATATTACAATACCATCAGGAATTGAGGAGGTCATTTCTTATAACCTTAATTAATGCTTATTATTGATAAATTAAGAAATTGCAAATTGTTAGGAAGATATTTGATAATTAAAGGTACAAATAAAGCGGCTTTTTTCAAACTTCTTTGAAATAAAACATAGCCTCTGTTATTGTAGCGGTTAAAATAAAAAGATTTGTTACCTCTGTTAGTGCATTAGTCGGTTAAATGTATCACAAAGAAATTTCATTTGCACTTTAAACATTAAATAAAACAATGAGATTTGATGGATTAGCCTAATGAATGATTTGGGACATTATCGTCATTTTTATTCCAATTTTATCTTCAAAAACGCTTATTTCAATCAATCATTCCCAGGCCATTGTTTCTTGAAATTTGATGCAATTTCAGCTCTGTCAATAATTATTTGTGCTTTTGTTTTTCCGCTATAGTTTTACCTGTGGAATTGAATAAGAGAATAAATGTTGCTCGATCGAGGAATTAATTCGTATAAACAAATAACATCGTATCGAATTTCTCAAATTTCTTACACATAACCTATGATCCATTTGAATTTTCTGGATTGATTACATACCTGTTGTTATCAATTAAATAATTATTTCTTTTAAATAATTTTGGCATAACAAACATTATCTCAATTATGCTTATCGTTCATTTTCAGACTTCAAAACTTCATACACACATGGAATCTCCACCATCACTCCCAGTTATTGATGATTATAACATTAAATCATCAAATTCGAAATTAGAATCAAAGAAGGAACAAACTGCTAATGACAGTAATGTTGAATCCTCAGATGTATTTAGGAAAAGAGGAACTCAAAATAATATTGCCGTTTCATTGGTTGTATTTTCTGATCAAATGAGTGAGTTCATTTTTTTCTTTCAAAATTATTTCCATTGTAATATAAAAGTTTGATAATAATAAACCATTTTTTATTTTCACTAATTAGTCTTAGACTTTGTAAAAGTCGCATATGAATTGAAATCTAAAGCTAAAGCCTAAAGAATTTTGAAATGAATCGTTTTTTCTTTTCTATATTTAAATATTATGTTGCTATCAAAGATTTCTCCTGCTGGTAAATCGATAATTCGGTTTATATATGTGTTTGTAAGTAAAAAATTCGTGGATAACTGATAACAAATCCTCGGATAAACTTTCCCTCATTGTTTTACATGTTTAATTGTTTTCAGTAAATAAAAGACGATTAACGATTGCAATAATTAGTTGTATATGTGGCATATACGCGATATATATCGCACTTTCACGTAATTCATCCGTTTACGGATACGAATCACGCCATCAAAGTGCGTACACAATAAAAAATATTTTACTTCTTTATGGTTCGTATTTTGAAATTTTTCTTTTTGTCTAATTGTTAAAATTTCATCAATCGAATTAGTTTCATTTGCCTGACTATATTATAAAATCCACCAGATCTTTTGGACTGAGATTTCTCGTTGGCTCTTTTACTTCAGCTTTTAATTGATCAGCAATGAAGGAATAATGAAATTGTTCAATAAGAGAAATAAAAAATCGATACATAAATGGAAAGAAGCAAAGTATTAAATAGAACGATTAGACATTCCAATCAGGATTTCAAGATTTTCTGTCAAGAATTTTAATTTAAAAATTAGTGGAAGATATTTACTCGATTAGTGATACCAATTAACATTATTATTATTTTAATTGTTTTTTTTTACGTCATCATTGCAACTTCAGTGATAATATTGCTCTCTACTATCATCGCTACCAAAATTTTTATTTAAGTTTTGTAAGAAATATGTATATATATATTTGAGTGATAACAGGAATATTAATAATTTTAATTATAAACGCAAGGGCTAATGATAAATTTTAGCTTCAAAAAAATTCTTCCTACTGAACCAATTATGTTTTACTGTTACATCAATTGAAATTTAAGGTGAATGTTTCAACTTTTGCAAACATAGCAAACATTTGTTTTCATCTTTGTTGACACAACTAAAATATATAATAAATTTTATCCATCATTTTTTTGTAGTTTTAAATATAAATTTCGAATTTGAAATAAGACATTAAATGTGCAATTCAAGCATTAAAATGATGTTCGGAAGTATTCAAATTTCATAATTAAAAATTTCATTCATAAAATTTTGTATACCAGCTTTCGAGAATAGCTAAAAGAATAGTTTTTAAGTGAGAATGTTCACAATAACGATCATCTGAAATAGCTATGATAATTTTCATCAACAAGCAAATGAGTCAAATTGGATAACTTCACATATATCCTAACTTTTCTGGTCAATTATTCAAATCCTTTATGAATGATTGATTGCATTTCAGTTGATTGTGGAGTGATTTCAGGAATGGTACAACTCCTTCTAAGTACAATTTTCTTCTGTATCTATACAATAACAAAAATTAATGAAAACAAATGGTGCTGTCAAATTTTTCGCTTTATAGGTTGTATTATTTATTTATTGATTGCATTGTTTGTTCTACTTATTGGAATAATTGGTAAGTAACTGGAAATTAAAAAAAATTATTTACTAGAAATTTTATATTTTATCAAATAGTTTGAGATCTAAGTGTAGAAGTCTGAATTCAATTCAAATAAGTCATTCATTTCCTCTGGTGCTTATATATCATTTACATCTTGCTTATTAAAATGACTTTCAAAACATATACTCTGTAATTTTCAAGAAATATAAATCCAATATGAAATTTTTGATGAGTCGATGAATTCTGGAGCAAATTTTCTGTTCTAAATTTAATTCAAATTTACAGGATTTTATTGGGTACTGAAATTATATGGACATGTAGAATATGAAGATCGGCAATCGGTTGATTACGTCGACATTATGTTGTACAATTCATCTATGTTCATATTCTCTTTTAATTTATGTTTTGCATTATTGAAGTGCTGCTGGTGGAATTAATGAATTTTGCTATTAATTAAATTTATCGTTGAAGTTGTAATAAAATGTTTTAGATTATCATTTATTCACCTAATGAGACGGAGATTTTCCTGGACTCAAAGTTAAAATGAAGAATCAACGCGATTTTAAGTAAAACTGACTAACTTTAGATTGGTAAAAGTTTTACACCACAGATGATTCTGACAGTGTTCTCACATGCATCAAATCTGTATTGATGAAAATGCAGCAGATTCCAGTCCATATTCCATAAGTTCAAATCATGGGGTCATAAATTATAGAAGTTGACTAAATCATTAATATATGTTTGGGATCCGTAGTGAAGGACCGTTCCGGTTACCCCTAAATACAGCCCCTACTATAAATATGTGTGTGAAAATATTATCTTAAATTTTTTTTGTAAATGAAATTCAATTCCAATATGAAAACTAATCAGCGATAATCAATTTCGCTGCTTATTCACATATTTATCATAATGGAAATAACAATTTCAAAAATAAATCACTTTTTTGAATATTGCTCAAATATCACTTTCAATTTAGATGATTGTTTCAACTAATAATATTGATAAAAAGCTATTAATTAATTTAGCAAATTAAATGTATGTTCCTCCTAACACTCTATTCTCACTAACAGCTTCAAAATTTGACAATTTCAAAAAGTTCGATCAAACTTTGTAACTGAAAATCACAGTAACAGGTTGAAAAAAAAACCCTTGTCTTTAACTTTTCATTTATTTATATATCTGAACTTTCTCACCTCTATCCTCGGGTTTGAATCTCATTAAACTTAGCAAACAAGAACTTCCATTCCTTAGAAATCTGAAAGCTCAGACAGCTTTGCAGAAGTCAAGAAATCTGCGGAGATCCTTGTTATTAAATGGTGGACAAACACTGCGGACAGAAAATCAGTAGCAAGTGGTGAAAGAGAGATTCATGAAAATCAACTATCGTAATAAGCGTGGGACACATTCAACGGGCCGCGGCCGCAATGATTACTTAGGGTCAGATGAACAATGGATGCATTAGGATTTGGGTTGCGAGTTTAGATTGGGTTGCGTAACAGGTCGATTTCCGTGACTTTGTTTACGATTCGGGCCTTAAAATGGATGCCTACATTGCTGAGGCTTTGTTTGTTGGAGGTTGCTGTTATCTCCAAGAATGTTTATATCACATATGTGGTTTCCGACTAAGGTTGGCCGATAATATCAAATAGAGTACCTCTGTTGTCATCAGGTGATAGTCGCTTGTATCTATGCATCAAAATCTTTCTGCTGTTGTATTTTTCCTATTTTTTATAACTGATTTAGATTTTACTATTTTATTTTTCCTGCGGTTTTTCATGTGGGGCATATGACTGTGTGCCATTTGTGGCACGCTTTTCTACTACATATATTAAAGAGGTAACACTATATTGTCCGTCATCAGAACTTTGTTACTGTCTGAAACCGTGATTTTACAAGTAAATCTGGTTATTGATGAGCAATAAATGCAGTATTATAATTCATTTTTTTCAATATCTGTTTTGAACTTCAAAAGCAATACGTTTTATTTTGTATGATTAAAGTATGACTTCATGGCGCTGAGTGGAAACAGTCGGATTGTGCATATAAAGGCTTAAGTTTTGCGAGCTACCAGCCGCAGTTTTTAGAAGTAATTTTAATAGCTTCAGATAATTTTGGAAATTGCTGTTAGGTGCTGTGGTTTTACGAGAAAATCTATGAATAATGACCACGACTCAGCAAATGTCAAAGAAACGGAAGGCGGTACAGGATGGTATTTTTAAAGCTGAATTAAATAATTTCCTCATGAAGGAACTTGCTGAAGATGGTTATTCAGGTGTTGAAGTTCGACGAACACCGGCACGTGCTGAGGTTGGTTTTTTTCGTCGGATTTTGTTTTGCAAATTGTCTGCTTTAAAGGATTTAAATTTGAAAGTTTTTCAAGAAGAGTAGGAGACGATTTCACAAAAGAAAGTTGCGCTCTTCTGAACCGAAATCTGATTACATTGACTTTACTGAGTTTGATATACCGCTATGCAGATAATCATTTTGGCAACACGCACACAAAGTGTATTGGGTGAACGTGGACGACGTATTCGTGAATTGACATCGGTTGTACAGAAACGATTTGGATTTGCTGATGGTACAGTCGAGGTATGCTACCGCTGTATTGACTTGGAGTCGATATTAAGAGCCTATCTTGATTAATTGCTCTTGCTGTTGGAGCTTAGTTGTGTATATATGCATCAACAGTGTCAAAGTTTTTTACCATAGTTCTAAGAAAGATAAGTAAATGGGTGTTGGAGTGGCAGATCTGGTTGAGATAGAATTTAGTACTTTTTTCCCACAAAAAATTCCTTTTGAGTCGCAACTAGTTTTTTTAACATTTTGACAGTTAGTTTTTTGTATATGTTTCGACATACATGTTTTTCGCATCACTACAAGTTTTATTTTTCCTCGAAGATAAATGTAATGTTAAGAAATTGAGCGATATGACGACATAAAGTAGAACATTCACAACGATAAGTCTGACTATCTTCCCTTTATGTTCGCGTGCTCCGTTGTGCAGGTTTTGAGCTTGTTGCAGCTGAAATTAGGATTGTTTTCCGTATTTCAGCTTTACGCAGAAAAAGTTACAAATCGCGGTTTGTGCGCTGTAGCTCAATGTGAATCATTACGTTACAAGTTGGTTGGTGGTTTGGCTGTTCGTCGCGCCTGTTACGGTGTGTTGCGTTTCATCATGGAATCCAATGCGCAAGGATGTGAAGTAGGACAAATTTCACCTTTGTTAAATGAAAAAATTAGTTTATTATTGGATTACTTGCACATGAATTACATTTTAAAAATTTCCCATGAATCCTGAGTAGAGTTTTGTGGTAACCAGGTGGTGTAGTGGTGTAGACATTACTGTATAGAAGTGAGCTATTGCAGTTCAAGTTTCAGACGGAGAAGCGTTGTCATCATGAGAGCTATGATGTTCCATATAGCTGACACCTCTTATGGTAGCATCTTCTCTTGAAGAATGCAATGATTCTGCTTATTATCTGAGCTCTTTTCTCATTTCATGATAAGAAGTAGATGAATCTCGGAAACACTTTGGTTTCAGATTAAGAATATTTTTGGTATAGATATTTTTAAATTATTGCATTACTTTCTACTTTCTTAGGTAATTGTATCGGGGAAATTGCGCGGTCAGCGAGCTAAATCGATGAAATTTGTTGATGGATTGATGATTCATTCCGGTCAACCGGTAAATGATTACATCCAGCAAGCAGTACGTCATGTTCAACTTCGTCAAGGTTTGCAGTTTTTGGTTTTTAGCGTTTTTAAATTCTTTTTAAAAATTTTGCTTTAGCAAGTGTTTTTACTACTTATGGAGCAAGATTTTGCCGACACGATAATACATTTGTTTAAGTAGCTTTGATTGAAATCAGAAAGTTAGAATGGGTGTTAGGTTAATGTGGGAAAGTTAGAGGATTGGAATAGATGTGCTTAATTAATTTAATCAAGCGAAAAGTCATACTGATATTGAAATATAGTTTAATTAGTCGGACATGGAGCGTGAATGTGATTTACTTTAGGTGTTTTGGGCATCAAAGTGAAGATAATGCTGCCACACGATCCTAAAGGAAATATGGGACCACGTATTGCTTTGCCTGACCAGATTCATATCCAAGAACCGAATGAACCACCGAATCCACTCTATCCAGAATCGGAACACAAACAGGAAAAGAAAGATTTATTGCAACCCATGTCGGGTCAAATACCGCAAATACCTCCTTATTAAAGAACATAGAAATATCTGTTATTGTTAAATATTCGTTGCAGATACAAATAAATTAAATTGTTCTTATTTGGCGGAAATTTCGATTAAAAAAGTTAATTTTTATTTCTCGTGAATAATTTGATTTATCACACACACCTATCAAGCTTTTCTTGAATTTCAACTTAATCAGTTGTGATAGGGCTTGCTAGTGCATAATTCATGTTTGCGGTCTGTTCGAAATGTTTTTCTTCGTGAAAAGATTCAGGTGGGACGTGAGGCTTACTGTTCAAATACGAAGCGTGATATTTTTGTAGCTCTATTCATGTCGGTTCTATATTGTTGAGGCATTGAAGTTTGTTTAACAAAGGCATCTTGATGATGTTGTTTGATTAAATATCAAGGCCTATTTTCTAGGCCTTGATATTTAATCAGGCCTATTTTCTAGCTCGGGAGACATCATGATGTACGCTTGAGGAAACTCTCTCACGACGTGTTGATCAAAGGTATAGCAATGTGAACTGAAATATAGATGAAGAAGCAAAATGTGGTTAGTCCCGCGAATTTCTCTCCGGAAGCTGTTCTCGGTACACCTGAATTACTGATTAATCAGGATAGCTTATTTGTTTCATCAAACGATGAATTCTTGTTTAGGAATCCCACCCATTGAAATGGGTGTTCCTTGTTATTGGGAAGTGTAAAAGTTTTAAACAACTTCCACCTTTAATCAACTTATAATACCAAATTTGACCGGGAAGTCAAATCTAACTGGAGAGTTTTATCAAGCAAATAAGTTAAGACAAAATGAAAGTGCGAAAAAAATGATTATGGGTTGAAATGATTATAAAGTCGTGTAGTAATGGTGTGGTAAATCGAATAGTCCGGAAGTTATCATCCAAACAAGTTTGTATAACATGACAAATCTAAAAATTGCGCAGTTGGTTGTTCGAAAATGGACCAATTCGAGCGGTACATCCAAATTTCTATTTTAAAATGAGCATGAGTATGGTTGTCTACACAGTTCAGAGCAAAACGAAAATGTTTCGTGAATTTATTGATGATTATTATCTCTGTCATTCGGTGTATTATAAGTTCTCTCATTTAAATTCGCTTGTTTCGCAGTTTAATTCTTGTCGAAAATGGAGTACTTGAAAATCCAATAAAATGGAAAATTCGACGAAGTTCTGACAGATTCAGTAAAACAACAGAAATAGCACGATAAGAGGCGTTTCACATAATTTATATGGCTTCATCTTGCTTTTTAAAGTAATATCTGATGATTTGAAATGGAATAACTCCATATTAGATGCAAAATTAAACCTTCCATTTTCGTAGGTAAGTGTACGATGTTATTAGCCGATAGAAAATAATTCAGGTTTTCTGCAGTCAATAATTATTTTAAAAATATAAGTGGTCATATTTCAAGCTACTTGAACAAATAATCGATCGGTATGGGTGAGTTGAAGTCTTCCGAAGAATCTTGCAAAAGGCAGTGCAATTGAAACAATCAGAACTGGAATTAAAATGCGAACATCTGATTCTTTTTTTTGAAGTTTGCAATTCGCGCGGAATTATAGGTCGCATCAGTTTGTCTACTAAAATAAAACTTTAAAAAAAATTAAAATAAAATCTAAAATTAATAAAGCAAATTACAAATATATCGGAGACGTCAGAATTGTGACATCGTCCAGCATTAAACTTTAGTATAGGGTGTTACATATAAAACCACCGTAATATCGAATTTATTAAGACCCAATCAAAATTTATTTTAAAATATTAGGCTTCACGAAGCAACAGCATTAGCTGTGAAAGTAGAAGCACAACGCCTTTCATATTAATTTAAGAGAGTACCATTAAAATGTAAAAAATATTTGCTTTACCTAGTATTTGACAGATGACAGGAATTTTTTAATTTAGGATCATTAGGAATAAGTATTAAAAGTAGAATCAATAAACTTTCCTGAATTACTGAAAGTGATTTTAAAAAGACGTTAGAATTGTTTTAAAGAATAGGCTTGTGTTCAACAGATACATGTGTTCAATGCTAATTTCATATAATAGGAGTCCGTTTAAAAGTGAAATAGTCCTTTAATTTTAGATGACAGCGTAAGATAGGTAATATTAGGTCGGATGGTTAACAGCTTCGCGTTCAATTCTTGAAATGTCGGACGATTTTTTGGATCATATGCCAAACAGTTAAACATTATTTGTTGCATCACCGATGGCATACCAGCTGGACTGCTTATCTTTACCTGAAATTCATGAAAATTTAGCGATCAAGATTAAGTCAATTCTTTTATTTTTAACTTTCTATCAGTCTAAATTCAAAATTCGATTCCAAATTATTGCCAAACTTAATAATGCCATTAAATTAATCCAAATCATAGGCTCAATCTCTCAAAAGATTTCAATGAATTCCCAAAAATTTAATGATTTAACCCGTTGCTCAATAACTCCTCGTCGCAATTCCTTATTATCCTGAATTTCTGCATACGGTTCCTGACCTCCCGAATATATTTCCCAAATGGTTATACCGAAACTCCAGACATCGGTTTTTGATGAAAAACATCCATATTTCAATGTTTCTGGGGATAACCACCTCAAAATGAATGAAATAAGAAGTAATGTTAACAAATTGTTCAGCAAAATCCAACCGTGTTTCCGGCTTTATTGGTTTTGCATACGGAAACTTTGATAGGATTTTTACCGGATTGGTACATTCTTCATACTTCTTTCGCGATATTTGATTCCAAGCAATGACAATCCAAAATCGCTCAGTTTAACTTCGTCATCTGCACTCAATAAACAATTTCGTGCGGCAATATCCCGATGGATAATTTGTACTGTTTCGAGATATGCCAGACCAGAAACAGCTCCAGCACAATATCGCATCTTGTCCGCATCACTAGGCTATAAGAATTGAAGTAAAAAAAACTTCAGATAATATTAAGCAGTCGTTCGTTGATGCGAAAAATTCTTTCACAAATTTGAAAAATTAACTTTGAAAAAGATTTCACCGGTCGTTTGGTATTTTGTACTCGAGCAAGAAGTGATCCACCACTAGCAAATTCCATAACGATCATTATTGGATCCTTCAAGGTTGCTACACCGTAAAATTTGATAATATTAGGATGGCTTAATTTAAGCATTAAGTTTGCTTCACGAAGAAATTTAATTCTTTCATCCGTGCTAAGATTTCCTGAATGAAGTGTTTTGATGGCCACTGGTATATATCCCCGAAACACTCCAAGATTAAGCATTCCTTCCCAAACTTCACCGAATGCTCCCTCACCCAATTTTTTGTTTCGTTCAATCTAAAAATTTTTTCATAATTCAAGGGAAAGAAATGAGAAACAAGAAGGACAAATGCGCTAAACTGGACACAAACAAATCTTGATAAACAAATGAAAGCTATCTTCAGGAAGCTCATCCTGTGCTACAAAACTATATCAGAAAATCTTCTCTCCTATTTACAAATATTAAGTTTTAGCTAACATTGACCTGTTCATGAGCAAGTTGCCAATCACTCCTTGCAATTCCTTTCACGATACATACATTTTCATTATTAAGCGGCTTTCTCATACGACTGTGATAAGCAATCAGATCGGAGATCGTCTTGAATGCGTATATGTTTACGTAATATAGGTGCCTCTGCAAATGACTTGATGTACGAACATCATTCATAGACAATCACTCATAGACATAACAGAATGATAATAAAAGTGCACTTAATTGATATGAACTGAATTACTCACTGAACGGGTTTTTTTGATGATAAAGTTTGTAAGTTCACTTGAATTTTCCGGAAGAACTGTAATGACGTATTGCATTTCACCGTCAATTTCTGACCGTCGTACCAGAAAATCACCTGGATTTACAAGTAGTGGTTTGCATTCATCATGTGACATGAAACCATGATAAAATGGTTCATCTTCTACCTGTCGAGCTGTTCCACCAGCTTCCTCAGACATTATCTAGAAAGATTGGTAAGTTTAAGAAGTCTGATAAGTTCAGATCTTTGCAGCAAATTATATCAACAATAAATTTCGTTTTATGAAAACCTTTACTGTAGCGAAAATAATTGACCTGAATAAGTTTTTTGCCGAGTAACGATTGCGACGGGGTTGCATCGGCCGCTACTGATCCAGGTAAATACTTAAAATTTCTTCAGCTTGTAAATTCAATAAAATGTAAAACAAATAAAAGTTTATAGAATCAGGAATGCACAATAATTTTTGAAGAAATGTGTGTAAAGAAACAATTGTTAACCGAATTCTTGAATTTTCATAATCAATCTGATTACAGTATTTGAGTGGAAATTTCTTAATTGTTTCTTCTCTTAACTGAATCTTCTGTTTACTAATTAGCAGTCTATTCCATTATTATTGTTGAAGATAAAAAGTGCCTCAGAAACTGATGATCGTGTTGACGCTGAAGACTTCGGTTGCGCTGTTAACATTTGCCCTGAAAATTTACTGCATCGAATCTTTCAGATTTAACTGTCATAATAAACAATTTTCATTTAATACTAAAATTTGTTTGAAAATTTTTGGAGTAAGAAAACAAATCAATGATTGAATATTTAACGAAATTTACCACTGCTGCTTCGTGATGATCTTCTACGAATGATCAATTTCTTTGCTGAAAGAGATTGTTGACTAAGTGATTTCATCCTTTGAGTAGTTAATTTATATTTAATTAATTTTTTATTAACTTCTTTTATAATGTTTCATTAGGTAATTCAATAACTTTTATCTACCATTCTTTTATCAATTGAAATGGAGTTATAAAAATAATGAATTTTACAATGGCCATGTCGTGGCTCTAATACTGATCCTGATGCTGATCCTGTAGTCTGAGATGATGTTGAAGAATCATTGATGGATGTTTGAACACTATTACTAGGAGTTTGAGTTGGAGTGATAGCCGATTCAAAGACCATCATCAACTGCCACCCTTTAGCGACTGCTCTCACCAAACTTTATTGAATTGACTAATAACTGCGCTAAAAATGATTGTAGTCTATCTGTTTTCCATCATTTTAATCATGGAGTTCATTTACTTCAGATTTGCATTTTATGTAAATTTAATAAATTAGAATTGACAAAAAGATTAAGAAGTGAAAGAATTATTCATTGTTATTTCCGAGTATATGATCGAAATGATTGTTCTATAGATTATTCGTTGTCACTTAATATCTCTAAGAAATGATTGATACCTCATTGTCCAAGGATCACCTATGGAACATGATGCAGTCTTTTTCACTTATCAAGAAAATGTTCTTTTATCATTTGCAGTATCAAATTGTGACTGAGTTAGTGGAAGTATTATTGTCAGTGGAAAATTCTGAAAATAAATTTGCAGAAAGTTTAGAAGGATCAATAGAACAGTCTTAATTATAACTCTTCCATAAAACTCTTTCTACTTTTTGACCTGATTTTGTAATGGAAAATTATCGGCAACTTTTCGCATAACCAATCAATATGCAAATTTTAATTGGTGTATGCACTTATGCATATCAATAAGTTATTATCCTATCTATTATTTCTACTTCATTTTATTAACTCTCCCCCATATTTAAATATTTCAGTCAGTCAAAGTTTTCAATGTATTGATAAATTTCAATCGCTGTCTTGACTATCTATCTGCCTGATATATGAGAAGGGAAGAAACTGTAATTATTTCATTTCCTTCATTTATTTCCCTTTTGATCCATACCATTCATCAAATACTTTTCAATATAGAATTTGTATTTTGTCCGTAATTTCGTTTCATTTCAGAAAAATTTCATATTTAATGGGAAAAAATTTATTGTTTAATTGTTCTATTTGATTGAACAAATGTATCACAGCGAAAAACAATTGTGTAAAGGTACTGACTGTATTTCAATATTTTGATAATACAATAGGACGACATATGTTCATCGCATAGTTTTACATTCCTTCCGTTGTTGTTACATACAAGCCAGCTGCAATTGTTATCATTAAAATCGACAATAGGCAGAAAATGAAAAAGATGAGAGATAGAGGGATGTACTTCTCATATTATAACACATCTCAAAATTATTGCCGAATAAATCAATCGATGTTCATTTCCTTCATATCACCGCATGTGAAAGGAAAAGCATATTGATACTATAATGATATTGGCAATTAGAATGGATGATTAGAGATCTCAACTAGGAGAGTTCATCGCATAGGTAAAAGGTGGAAGGGCTAAAAGTAGCATTAGCGATTACTTTGTTAATTTACAAAAAGTTTTATTTCACATTACTTTCCCAACTTGAAGCGAATAAAAAAAAAGTTCCATGAATAAAAAAATAAAATTGAAAGTGCAAATGAATTTCTCTTCCTTTACCTCTCTCTCTCTCTCTCTCCTTCTTTCACTCTCTTCCCTCTTTATCAAAAAATATCCTAGTTCTGTTACTTCCTAGCATTAAAATTTTATTTTTGTCATTTCACCTGCTCGGAGGATCGATGAAAAAGAAAATAGTATTGCGTATGGAGATGGAGCGGGGGATGGTAGAACTTTTAGACGAGTGTGTCAGACTTGTGATAGGGTGCGTTGTCGAAGATATTTCTACGTGTGGTTGGATGCGTGTTGTACTCAGTGATTTGTATCGAAGGGGACAAGGGAGATCGTGACAAGTGATTACTTCAAGGGTCGGATCAGTTGAAATTTATTGATTGGATCCTACGATGGGAAATATTTTTTAGGGAATTGTGATTGAGCTGGTACGTCTAGTCCGTACGAAAGAATGGGGATCATTACAATGATAACTGTTGTCGTATCGCTATCCTACTTTGTAAATTTCCGCACAGTCAACAGCATAAATGTGTTAGGCTATATTACGAGGAATGTGAAGGAGTTAATTGTTTTACCATCATAAAAGAACATTCCAGAAAGAGACAGTCTGTTAGCGGTGAAGAAGTAGAAGTACTGGCACTTCCACTTCCTTCCAGTTATTCACATTCTGTTATCACCGTATGAGTTAAACGTTCAAGCAATAAAAGTAAACAAAAGGACTTTTCGGGAACGGCGGGCTATGTTCTGCCCGCCGACATGAAGTTGTTGCAGCAAGATATCGAAAGTCGTGTTATCAGTTGTAATAAATTATGGAGCAGGTTTGGTTCAATTAGTTTTCCTCTTGTCATCGCACTTTTAAATAATCATGGTCGCAGAATGATCTCATCGGCTGATACGGTAGCATTCTAGGGTGATGCCGTTGCATGCTAGGTACGATCATACATGCGTCCTGCTAGACTAGGTTAGTTAATCGAGGGGAATTTGCTATGGAACTCCCACTTTTAATGAATCGTATGCTTTGCGGAATGACTTTAGAGAGACAGATTCGATGTTTTAGGCTATTTATTATCGATGGTAATAAGTGGTAAATTAGCAGAGTTTCAGACAAGAATGTCGTCTATGGACAGCCAATTTGTTTCTCGGTACATGTATGTTGTATGCGGCACGTGTTGCTTTACCAGTATGTGCTACAGTCATTGCTCACGAATATTCGTGGAACAAAAATGATGCAGTACGTTTTATCTTTTAATTTTCTTTAAAATAAAAGGTAACATTTTCAATTAGCAATAGGGAGCTACATATTAGTGAATCAGGCATAGTATCTCACGTGCTCATTATTTTCACGGTCATCTTGCTAAATAATTTATGTATTATAAAAATTAGTTTGTTACGAAATACGATTCAAATGTTTTTGTTAGTCACAATAACGTAAGATAGTAAGCTGTCAAAATTATTCATGTTCTGATGACAGGGATGATTTTTCTCAGAACATAATATGGGAAAGTTAGATTCACATTAATTTATGTTTAGGGTACTGTATTATCGTCGTTCTTTTGGGGATATGCTTGCACCCAAATAATTGCCGGTCAGGTGGCTGATCGTGTAGGTGCTGAGAAGGTATTGAGAATCTGTACATTTTCATGGGCTTTGCTTACTTTCTTTACTCCTGTGTTATTCGACCTCTCATATGCTACAAACCATCCAATGCTTTTTATAATACTCATTCGTTCCGCAACAGGCATCGGGCAAGGTAAGTAACTGATCCTAAAATTACAATTCAAAGTGTCAAAAATTTCTTGTCCATAATGAAGCGTTTTTTTCGAATCAATTTTGAATCTGCCAAATTGTGCAAGCTTTTCTAGCAATGCATTTTACAGCCTTCCATCTCCCATCGGTGGCTTCGATGACTTCTCGACATCTGATGTCATTTGACAAGGGACGCATATTGGGCATATGTCTGGCAGGATCTCATCTTGGGTAAAAACTTAAACCTTTCAGCAACTTGTTTAAAGTTTAAGTAGAAAAGATTTAGTCGTATTTGGTAAACATTTCTGAACATTTTTTGTGCTTTTGGATTCCAGGACAGCGCTAGCAGGTGCAGTTGGTTCAATATTACTAGAAACTTTCGGTTGGCGTGCGCTATTTCAGTGCGTAGGTATGTGCACTACTTTTTCTAGTTACACACTATTATACTGTTTTTGGTAATAGCACGTTGTTTTCACTTAGTAAAATTAATTTTGTCATTATTCATTTGGAAAAATTCTTTTTACATCTAAAGTTTCAGGGTTTATGTCATTTCTGTGGTGGGCGTTGTTTCGCTTCATGTCATCATCGCACAACCATTCTGGTGACTCAGATGATGCGAAGAGAGACGAACTGAAAATACCTTTAGTTAATAGCTTACGGAAGTCACTTGGTAGCAGCTCCTTTGAAAATGTGGTTCCTTGGAGTGTACTCTTGAAACATCGATCATTTTGGTACGTCAGAAAGTTATGTCCTCCTTTTTGCTTGTAAATGTTTTATCTATAAATAGCGCGAAAGTCATGTGGTTCCTTCATATTTTGTTCATCAAATAGTTTTTTATGTTACGGAAATTGAATCTTTTTATTATTCTATTATTATTAATATTATATTACTATAAACGGTTTCATTACGTTTAGCGGGTGTTATGCGAAGTTTTAAAAAATACGAATAAAAAATATTTATGGATTTTTATGCAACTTTAAGGGCAGCAGCGGTGGCGCAGTATTGTGGTGCGAATGCTTATTATACACTGTTTAGTTGGCTTCCGTATTATTTCGCAGATACATATCCCGATGCTAAAGGAGTTATATATAATGTAGTACCTTCACTTGCAATTGTTATAACTGCCTTCTTTGCTCCGTTTATCGCAACAACATTGTTTCTTTATGTACATTCGCTTACTCTAACCAGGAAGTTAATGGAGGTTTGTTTTTTATTCAGCATGTGTTTATATTGCTTTATGCAATTTTGAATTTTTTATCACAATATCACCAATTTAAATGCCAAATATGTAATGTTTTCAGGGCATTTCTTTGAGTGCAATTGCAATATGTTTATTGATTTCAACCCAGTCTATGAGTTTCAGTTGGGCTTTATTCACTTTTACACTAGCCATGGCAGCACGTGGCTTTCATCATGGTGGTATTTCAGTGAATCCATGCGATATTGCTCCTAATCATACTGGCTCAGTTTTTGGTAATTTTGGACTTCTAGAATTGTTTCAAAAAAAATTTCCTAAGGTTTCATGATTAGCACTGGGAGGATTACCGTTAGAATTTAACGCTAAGAAGAAGAGTAGGTCGTTAAATGTTTAAAATGCTAAAATCAAAGTTTTTTAAATGAAATTCCATCAAAATTTCCTGAAGAAGGCTTCAATTTAAAAATATGAGGAGATAATCATTTGATTTCATATGTTAAAGCATGTGAAGGCTTATATGAACGCATGAGATAGGTGAATTTTTATTTTAAGCTAAGCTTATTTTATTCTATGATATTTCTTTGGGTTTGAAATTTTGGTCCCAAATTTTTTCATTTTCCAGGTGTTTTTAATGCGTTTTCCGCAATAACCGGTTTTATCGGAGTGTACCTTGCTGGATATATATTACATGAAACGGGCAGCGCTTGGGCTTACGTGTTTATTTTTACGTCTTTGCAGTGCTTTATTGGAGCAATTGTTTTTTCTTTGTTTGGCACCGCAAATAGAATTATTTGAATTTTTTTCCTTTTTCTTTTAAAAATCTTTAAAAATTTGGTTTATCATTTCTTATTATGACCCTTTGATTTCCTATTGGATGGTCCATGTTATTTCTAAGTTATAATCTCATAAGCAACGTAGGTAAGATATGTGTTGTTAATGATCCCAACATTGCGTACTTTTGTTACATCTTCCCTCATAGGCAATTTTTCTTAAACACCACTATTTTTCTCTTTTATTATCTCACCTTTTGTTACGTGCTCTTAAAAACTGTATTATCTAAACCTAATTATATAAAAGGGAAATTAGTTATAAAATCGTTTTTTCCCTAAGGTGTTGACAAATTCAATCCCAAATCATCATCCTTTCATTAATCCATTGGAACACATTTTTCCGTCGAGATAAATGAGTTGGTTTTTTGCCATTAATTTATTAATATAGCCTCTCCCGCTTTATGATCTCCTATCATTGTGTTGTCTTATTAAGAAGTAATTAACTGCTACAATAAAGCCAAGAAGTTTGGGATTCACGAACAAGTTGAATATTGCGTTACACATTTGACATTCCCATATTTAAGGGACCTCAAAATTAATTGATTTCTTACTACTAGTACTTTAATGCTTTATTTTGGAAAACTTTGAGAACTGAACTATATTAAATTGCAATTAGAGGAGGGTCAAGTTTATCAAGTTCTCTCAATTTATTTTTTTCTTTTGTCTTCGTCTCTATGTTCTTCACTATTCATACTCTAACTACCCTTCATATTTTGGCTTGGGTAATATTGAAGTTTTAATACGTGGTGTTGAGGAGAATGAAGCAAATACGAAATAGAATGAGGTAAATTTCCAGAATGAAGCAAATACGTAAGTGATACCATGTTCATGCAATTGGTTATACCTAAGATGTTGTCTTCCTTATCTGTTCTTGGAACTTGCGAATTTTTGTAAAGATTCACTGAAATTCTCATCAAAATTGCTGAGATATCAGGACTTTTAAGTTACTGTAGAGCACCCTTACAAATATGAAGTTTTTTATAAATTGAAATATCCATTCTCTTGGCGGCTTTGATAACTTTATCGTATTCATGGTTTGGTAGCTTATACAAATGAAAATCTTTATTTCGTAATACTCCTATGCTTTATAAAGTGCCTTGCCTTTTTTAAATGTAATTTGACTAAAACTTAAGAGTTAAAGATGTAATAAAGTGTAATTTCTCAGCCATAAAATTGAAGCAAATAAAAGCAAAGATCAAATATTCTTGGAAAGACTAAAACAATCTTACAGGAAAACCAAAATGAGCGTAATATTATTAAGAGACTTGAACACCACGATATTGACAGATTTCTTAATGACTGGTCAACATTGGATGTTTCCATTCATGCCCAACTATGAGTAGAACAAGTCATTCTCCTGAAATGAAAGGAATTTCATTATTCTTATTAATTTCAGTGAAAGGAATTTTATTATTCTTATTAATTTTACCTTCCTTACTTTTGCGCTTGATGTTATCCAAATTTTATGTGAAATGTCAGGCTAACAGATATAAGATATGTATGGCGAATTAATTCTTTTTCAATTTTGGACTTCAATTTATTCGCATGGAATACATTAACAGATGTAAGATTCCATTTTTTTTACGTGACTTGCAGAGCAAAAAAGAATCATCACACGGGTACGGAATATCTTGAAAGCCTGTGTGTGTTTGACACTATTTACTTCAACAAAATTAATGACACATTCTAAAATCCAATATTTAAACTATTTTGGTGCAAATTTGAGAAATCACATGTTCATGTAAAATGTTCAATAGAACTGATATTTTTACAACACTTTGATTCTTTCCGTTGTGATGAGGGATAATGTTGAAAAGTAAACGATGAAATTTACCAAAGTTTGAGCGTATTTTTCGTTCACTTTAATTTAATTTAGTTCCGAAGGTTTACTATTTTTTAATCTAATTTAATGCAGATTAGTACAACTGAACGGAACATAAATTGGTCTAATGAAGCTATTGATATTAATATGAAATATGAAAGCTGGAGAAAATTTTAACTACAAATAATTCATCGTTTAAAATTAATTCAACGAAATTTTCAACTTCCTAAGATTGCAAAAAGTAGAGGGAATTTTAAGCAAATCGATTTGTTTGCTTACTTATTAATGTTAAATTTGGATTGCATAATAGAAAACAGTCGAAATGAATTACGATAGAGCTTTTAAGCCAATATTTACAGTTGGAAGAGAGTTAAATAAGGAAATCTAAATGGCGTGAAATAACACTGACATACTGAGCGTACGAGTAAACACGTGCTGCTTCACGTTATGTCTCTAAATTTTGTCTTGAAAATAGAAGAAAAAAGCAATCAATTATGATGTATATCATTCAATTCCTTATTACACTTCTTCATTACTTCCTATATGCAAATTTCTTTCATTTGAAAAATATGCAAACTTCTAATTTCATTGATAGTGTTTTTTTCTGAGACAAGACAGATAAATAGTTTAACTTTTCCTTCACCTCAACCAACATTGACGTTACTGTTCACTAAGGTGTCTTACGGTAACTGTTCATTAAGACGTTTTACGTTATCACTGATATTCCCAACAATAAAAGAATGAATGATTATTTCCATTTTACTCATACATCATCTTGCTAACTCATAACAATAAAGTGGTAAACTCTTTAATAGAATTACTAATATAAGTGATAAGTTGTCAAAGTGAAAATTTCTTTCCACATGAATTGTTTATTTCTTTAATTAGCAAACGAAAGAAGAAGAATCATTTATGAGATTCAAATTCCCGCTTTGCATGTTATACCTGGCAATGTGTCATTGGTATGAAGGGAGACATCGCAGAGTTTTATTCCATTCCACTTCTTGCTGATTGTTTATGACTCGTTTTATTGATGTGTTTGTTAAAAATTTCAATCATTTTTAAATACTTTGATACTCACAGTTGATATTTTCGCCTTATCAAAATGGACTACGCAATTATTGGTTACAAAGGAATAGTATACCACAGCTATTGGTGATCACCCGCCAAAGAAATGGGTTGCAGTTACAGTTTTATCAGTTGTCATCTGCCAAAGAGATAGTTACCGGCACATCGCTATTAATTGATCTTTCGTGGATTTATGGTTTTATAGAGTTACTTTTTTGTTTTTTAATTTGATAAAATGATTTGCGAATTCTTTATATATCGACATGTAAATTGTATTAGATCTTAATTTTACCACATCTTTTCTCAGTTTCGTTATTTCTAAGCTGTTCTGTGCATCCTCTTCCATTACATTTAGGTTACGTCGTATTGAATTCCATCTATTTAAACTGTTCCAAATTCATGTTACTGCGAAATCCGGCCTAAATTGCCATTGCGTCAAATTAGGATATAGCGACATCCTTATTTGAAATTTTTATTTGATGCATGTTTAGTTTGGTAAGTTTAGCCACGTAACATTTTTGCTTGCAGTGATTTTCACGGGTTGTTTCGTTGTTCATTATATAATCTTCCGGCAATGGCAAATGGTGAAGAACAAATAGATGTACAAGCTGCAAATGAACAACAAGCGGCGAATTTTGCGCAACGAGCTGCTCGGATATTGCACAATTTACCTTTTATGAACTTTCCAGTGATTCCACCTAATGAAGATCGATTCAATTTGGGACCTCTGGACAGGGATTTTCATGTTCTGGTACATAATGCAAATGCCGTGTTAGCTGAACAACTTGCAGTGTTGGGAGAGTTGGTTTTTTATCAAGACATAAATTTTATTTAACTCTGTTTGTGAATATTTTCTTTGATTCGTAGAGCTTATAATTTATGGAATCTAATTCTATGTCTGGCTTCATACTCCTTGTATTATTTGGTTGTGTGAGATATCGTCTAAATTACTTTCCTCATTTTCAATAGGTAATTTCAGCAAATACTCTCTAGATCCATTGACAATCCGCGGATTCATCCACATCTATGGTTAGGTTTATCCGCGGATTTACGATCTGATGGAAGATTTTTTATTGGGAACCAAAGTATCGTGGGTGACTATTTTCGAGGAATTCAGTATTCATAGAGAAGCGAATCGGGCAGACGATGAACCAGTAATGGGTGGAATGGAGCGTATTGCCGTAGGACTTATTGATGAGCTGCGTAATATGATTGAACATCTGATAAGACAACGCGACGAAATGCGACAATTGGTAATGCAACGAGGCTTGTTTGATCCACTTTTCGGCCAATGGGACGAACTGCTGGAAGTTTGGGGAGTGCGAAATTTTACTCGAGAAAATGGAAAAATAAAGAACCCAAGTTTGTTTTTTTGTATATTTGAAATATTTGAATTTGATATAATTTCATAAATAGTGGCTTGAGAATTTGCATGTACGGATCAAGCTAATTTATAGGATTCGCTTGCTCCAAATCTTTGCAATTAAATTTTGAAATACATTTCTATTTACTCTTTCTATAAACATATGCTTTTGCAGTCAATAAAATATGAAGAAAATGCACAATAACTTCGAAGAGCTCAGTTATAGAAAAAACTCTTTTTCTTATTTAGTTTTGTTGCCAATCTTAATTGCATTATGTTTAAAAAAAATTTCTGAAATGAATGCAGAAGTAATAGAGTTGCTGTAAACCAATTATTCACTTAGTTCGAGCTTTGCTCAATGCATGGGCTAGTTTCAGAAAAGATTTAATTTGCAAGGAGAATTTAAAACAGTGAAATTTATTGAAATTTAAAGTGAGGAAAAACTTAGTTGCCGACAGATTTATAATTATATGGATTTATCTCAGTATTTTATCACTCGCAATTTATTTGCAATGCGATGAAATATTAAACTATTGTAGAATCGCTAGAAACTACTGTCGTGGATTACGTAGCGAATATAATAAACAGTATTCCGGCGGAAGCATACACTCTTCCACTACCTTTGCTGTTTGAGATCCATGTAGGTTTATATAAGAAAAACAAACTTCTTATATTGCACAAGGAATGGAGTAGCATTGATCGATTTCAAAGGGTTCTAAATTGGAAGATGAGAAGGTTTGCTGTTATCACTGAGATTATTCAATATTTATGTGGTATTATGCATGTTTTCAGCTCATAACGTCCTAATTATTTCCTAGCAAATTTAACCTTTTAACAGTTGAGGGATCGGCTATCATTAGATGACCAAGTGCGCAATAAATCTCACTTTGCTTTTCAGGATGACAGTTCATGAGCTTTTCAATGGACTAATGAATAAAGGATATTTAATTGAACGAGTTTTATTCGAAGATTTGAAGCGACGGATTCTAGACCGTACGAAATCGAAGGATGTGGAGTTGTATGAATGTACACTGATCTTAGGTTAATAGTCTTAAAGTTTATTTAAAAAAAGACATTATCAATAATCTTGAATACTATTAAAAAATATGATTATGAAAAAGGTAAAGATTGTTTAGCAAATTAACAAAAATAATAATTTTCAGGCACTTTTCTTTTGGATCACGGATCACTTAATCTCCCTGGTGAGATCTTCAGATATTGTCAAAAAATGTTAGGCTGGTTGTCTGATGAGCACCAGTTGCGTCAGCGGAAATTATTTGAATTGAATTACTGGTATGTTTACTTTCGAGGCTATTCGAAAACTTTTCTTGAGATATTATTAATTATGTCGATTTATAGCAATACACTGAAATGTATCGTTAAATAGTGCGTAAAACAGACAATATCTTAATGGAATAGTACCACTGTTAAATCCTAATCATATTTGAGAATGGTTTTTAACTTTGATTAAATCTTTAAAGGCTGATGAAATATTACATGAACAACTGCTCATTCGTCGAGGCAATACATATCAGTTCATTTACTGATACATTAATTGATAAGCTGGAAAGTAATGGTGATGTTAGAACATTAAATTTCGTGCAAATTCAGACTCAGTGCGCTTCTTTATGGTCAGTTTTTTCGAAATCTTGGATAAATTTATTTCTTGTGATATGATTTCATTGTCTTTGAAAGCAAATTCTCTAACGTTTGTGACCTTTTTAGGTATATGCTGGGTCAATACAAGAAGTCCATGGACTTTTGTTTAAAAGCATTAAAAACTGCTCATGATGAAGGAGCGCATACTACTGTAAGTTACATTTTTCGATTAATAAAATTTAGATGCGAGTAATTTCTCAAGCATTATATAATTTTCGTTATTTCCTTCCCTATGAACTATATCTTGATGTAAAAAAGCATTAAAAGGCAGAATGAGATCAAATCTTGGGGTTTAAACTTTCAGTCGTCATGTGAATATATAAGCTAACTACGAACTTGGCATAGGTAGAGATTTCATAATATAATATATGTTATTGCAAGATTTCATAATACAATAATATTATTGCATCGTAAAGGGCGTGTTCACTAAGGCATTTGTCAGAAATATATTGCATAGAATAAATCTGAATCCTTCTTGCAGGCACAAGTGGAACTTTTATGTCTTACTGCAAAGATTCTCGTTTTCAAAAGGCGTTTTAACTTAGCCCTAAGAACTGTTCGTTTTGCTTTAGCGATTGTTTTGAGCCATCCAGAGCTTGAGAGGTTGTTGTGGTCTGTGTTATGTGATTATGGAGATTGTTTGCTTAATTCAGATCATGTCGAAATGGCTGTGCAGGTTTATACCGTAAGCTATATCGTTAAAAAATTTGTTAGATATTCCTTGTAGAAATAGTTAGCATTTGTCACTTCTTAAGTAGATTTTTATAAATTTAAAATAATTACGAGATTTCTTTGTGATGAATTTTATTCAGTTTGAAGTCTTACGAAAATTTTCGAAAGTTTTTTTGAAATGAAGAAAATTGAAAAATGATCCGACATAGGTTATGGCAAAAATGGTTCACAAACATTTCGGAACAGATTCTCTTCGTGACGGTCAGGCAATGTATGAATATGCTCGTGCTGCATACCGCCTTCTGTACGATAATTATGCTGGGTATCGTACCGATAAGTATGTTTTTCATTACTGTCAAAAATTTTCTTACTGATTTATCTTAAGATGCTGGTTTAATTTAAAGACATGCAAGAATGTTCCTAAAACTTTTAAAACTCACGATTTTTAGAGAGAAATATGTTCAGCTGCGCTTTCGCTGTGAGAAGTATGCCAATAAAGCACTAGAAATTTGCCGGGCAAAACTGGGTAAAGAGCACTATCAACTGTTAAATGCTGAGGAGTTGAAAGGTTATTGAGCATTTTTTAAAGAACTGAATTACAAAACGTTGTGAGTTGTTTCATTTGTCACTTAGTTTTAATTCAAGATTTCTATCACTTCTCTTCATATTGAAGAAGTATTTTATCACTAGTACAATCGATGCAATCATTACCTATATATGTGATGTTCGCTGAAATTTTTAGTAAATAATACCTGTTGCATCATCCCAATTTATAAATTATTAGTTTTGCCTTAGAAACATTAGTTTTAGCGCTGGTTTCGGTAAAAAGTTCATTAAGAAATGATACTGTCCAACAAGAGTTGCTGAATGAAGCGATGGGAACACATATGCGGGCTCTAAATAAATATTGCAATTTCAATAGTGAGAATGCAAACTATGCAAGGACTTCTGATTATCTTGGCCACATATTTCGATGGTCACGAAGACCTGAAGTTAGCATTCATATGTTTGTGTGAAATGTAAGCTTGCAGAAAGTTTAACTTGCTAAACTCACCCTGGCAGGTTATTGCATGATATTTAAGGGCAGTGTTTATTTTAAATCATTCTAAGCAAATTTTTAAAGTGTTGCTGCATGATAGCAATTTAGTGATTTAGAATACTAAAGCAATGGTATTAAAAAGATTGATAACTTCTCGGCAATAGTTGAGATCACTAAAAAATTGATTTGCTTAATCGAAGGCATGTATTTTATTGTTTTATTCTTGACCACATGTCACCAATCCTTCCACAGATTTTCCACGGAATTTTTATTATAAATGTCAAGTGGAATTGAGTAATTGAAATTCAGCCGTTTATCTTAGGTCTCTGAGGAAATGTTTGAAAAAGCTTTGGCTACAAAGAAAATTGTCTATGGCATTAATGATCATGAAACAGCTCTTACTATGGCTTCTTTGGCTTATCTTTATGTGAAGGACATGAATCGACCCAGGGAAGCTTTAGTTCTTTTCAAAAAATGCCTTGAAATTCGTAAGTTTATTTTTTAATTAATTATTAAAAAATTTTGCACAATTATACTTAGTCAGCAACAGTGTCGTGAATACTTTCGCTGTTCATGCACTAATGGCTGTGTGATTTTATCACATATGCGTCTTTTAGCTCGGATATACATATAAATGAATCCTTTCATCTTACTGGTTGTTTCCTTAACTTTGATTTACTTTACATATTAAATTCATTCAGTTTATCAGCTTTCTTTCATTACAACTTAAATTATAGAAGTTGTTGTTCATCTTTTATACTTGTGTTAGACAGATTGTGCTAAAAATAACTTTTTCACATCTTTTTGATATGTTTAAGTTTATATTAAACAAGACATGATTATCACTTTCTATTTAAAAGAAAGGAACAGTATTGATTCTTCTTTCCAAGGGTATATGTGTCATGGTTTTTCCAGAGTTGAATATATTTGGTGAAGAATATTCTGGACTCGGCACTATTTATGATGGAATGACGTTAGCCTATGAAATAATTGATGACTTCGCAGAAGCACGAATTTGTCGTGAGAAGCTATATTTGTGGAAAGCTAAGAGACGCATACTTGAAGAAGCACCGTCTAAGAATCCTTTTGGGGAATCGTTATTTGTCGAAGAAACATTTCAGAATTTTGTCCTAGAATGCTATAGAGTTCTCAGTTTTAGTGAAACGCAACAATCATCAGACGTTGAGATGACGGAGACATATTAATATCCCCGATTTTTGTGTACAGATATATACAGATCTACTTTTAAAAATTTGTTGAAGATACAAAATGTAAATTTAGATGCCTTCCTTTTTATTGTTGTCATTTATTATGTACTTCACTTCATTTTATATTGTTTCTGAGTTACGTAGTTCTAAATGAATAGTGGTGTCCAGCCAGTTGAAAGCTATCATTCTTCTTTTTTTTCGCCTTGTTCTTCCTTTATTTTTCCATTTCCGTTTGCTGTGGTGTTTTTGTAGTACGTTTGAAGTGATTATTCTGTTGCAAACTAAGTAAGTATTTATATTCAATGTAACTTCTCACTAATTTTTCCACTTAATGGAATTACACAGTTTTGTAACATAATTGGCTTCCACATAATGTCTTTTTCTCTTTTAATACCTACAGGGGTTTCCGGTATGATAAATAAGTTGGATTTCTTCATATGAAGACCAACCATCAAATGATCGCAAAACGAGAAATTTTACTATGTAAATGTTATAGATTGCCTATCTATAGATTATCTATCTGTAGATTATAGGTTGCTTATCCTAGCCTACTTATCCTTATTGACCAACTGTTTTGCAATAAATTGAAAATTTGGATGGAAACTTAATTTAACATTTTAGCCTTTCTTTTTTGTTTTCTGTTCACTTGTTTCTTTAATTAGCTAGTTTTATTTATCTAATTAGCTTTAATACTACGAGTTGTTAATAAATTTTTCTTCTTACGTGATAGCAAAAAAATATTTCTGAAGAACTGAACAAATCAATATGTTGTTAACTAACATTTATGACACATAAAGATGGCCCGATTTCCTGACTTATAACTTTCTGTTATATCTGCGAATGATTTACACTTATCTCAAAATAAACTGGAAGAGTTGCATTTGGAAAATTAAAGATCTTAATTGCGAATTTAGCAACATTATGAGTCAATAAGTAATGTTTGTTGGATCATTTCAATTATAGGAAATTTATGTATTTATTAATAATATGCGAAATCTATAAAGCAACTTCCCTGAATCGAACTTTAAGGAAGCAACGTTTATTGTTAGTGTAAGACCAAGAAGTCTTTAATAAGTTTAAAATTGGAAAGTCTTTAATCAGTGTAAGGCTAAGAAGATTTAGCACAGTTTGAAAGTTAATACACTAACTTTATTATCATTTATGATTTAAAACCGTTTCTGCAAGGGTTACGACAATGATAATTTAGGATGGAGAGATGTATGAAATTATTGTTGATAAGTATATGCAAAATGATTTGTGTGTAATTTATATATTTTTAGTTTTTAAGAATTTGCAGCTTTTATGAAACATTCATATCTTCTGCAAATCAATTGAAGCATTCTATTTTTCACAAAATTTTTGCAATATCATCGATAGAAATTTTATAAAAACTACAAATTCTGCAAATTTTTCAATGGACTATGTTTGGTATTAGAATTAATGCAATTTGTAAAGATTTGAAGTAAAATTATTTCCTTCAAATATTCAATGGTAAAAAATATTTGATTAGAACCATTTCATCATAGCGATAACTCTTCTTTGTAAATTGGAAAAGATACGCATTTAGGCGATGCATTTCAATTAGACTATGTTTGATATAGAGTAAACTATGTAAGTGTTAATGTTAAGAAAATAAATGAATTAAACAAAATGATTTCATAGAAAGAAAGGCTTATTAAGCAAAATAACGATCATATCAAGCGTGCAATAGAGAGGGATGCATAATACACCAATGATCCATTAGTTTTAATAATTTATCCCTTTTGATGACAAATTCATGCATATTTACGGATTGTTTACTTTATTAAAAGATAAGTTGCCACTTCTTTTATATTCTTTTATATTATATATAAGTCATTAGTAACTGTTTTTCGAAGTAAACAAAGAAATTTAAATTGAACTTACACAAACATTCACTCTGAAAAGAAAATGCGAGAATATATCTCTTGGGATATATCGGGAAAACTATGGAATTGTGTGGATAAAAGATACTGTGAGCTTTGCAAAAGATGTTAAACGAATTATTACTTATTTCATTCTCGGGTTTCCTCATATTTTACCAATCAAAGAATCCGTTTCTAATCATTCCCAAGTGAGTTCATTATTCTTTTTTCCTCTGAAACAATTTTGTATTATATTCATTATAGCCTACATAGCAAAGCATATCAAAAATGCAAGCCATATCTTAATTGATCATTAACCTTTAGCTCGAGAATTTTAGCACAAAATATAACTTTCATAATAAATAGTTACAGACTGTTCAGGAAAGAACGATGCCATCAGTTTATTAGCTCTTGTTGGCATTAACTTTTGAATAAAGTTCCTTACGAGGAGATTTTGCTTTGGTGGCAAAGAAATCAAATGAGAAATTCTCACTTCTTATGTTTCTTATTTTCAATAAATTTCGAAAATTTCCTTCAATGAGCTTCTCTGTCCCATTTCCCATAGGAAATATGAAATACTCTTCCCATCGAAACCATAAAATCTATTAACAAGACAAAGCAGATTCGAATAATAAATCAAAGTATAATCATAAAATAGTATCTAGCAGATGGACACTTGACCGATTCTCGAAAAAATAGTGGACATGTCAAATAATTGAAGTCTTAACTTAGCAAATAATTTTCTTTTGGGTAAAGTGATGAGCAACAGGAATAAACCAGAAAAGATGTTTTGGCGTGTATTTTGTATGATAGTAATAGCGACGGCAGCGTATTGATGACCTTTTCCCTTTCATTGATAATTTCGAACCTCTTTGAAACTAATTTGGATGATACTTTTATTGATCACATCTGACCTCAACAACATCACAAATATTTCCTAATGGACATTTGGTGGACAGATCTAACACTAACGCAAAGAAAGGATGATTACTCGATATAGACCGCGATCATTTAATTTTAACTCTCTCACTTAATTATGATAGTAGGTGCTATTAACCATTGCTGTTTATATGTGGATGTAAGTGCAAGCGAAATTTGTAGTATCCCACTTCAGAATGGCAGCATATTTTTCTTATCAGACATTAATCTATCTTTTTCTCTCTATCTCTCAACTCCATTATTAGTATCACTTTGCATATTTTTATGTAACCTTTTATAATCCATCATTATCAATAGCATTCAATAAAGTTTCCGTTAACATCGAGTTGATTGTTACACCAATTGTATGTAAAACTTACCGCACAATAATTGATAATTCAAATCGGCTGGATAATATTATGCTGGCATCTTTCTTATTTCAAACCTCTTAGATTTCTTTTTAATCCATATAACTGCCATATTTGGCTTATTAGGCTTATAAGTTCATTTCAAAAAGAACTCACAAAATGCCCAGTCAATATAACCAAATTGGAATAAACGATGCAGTATTTTGCTGTGAATTATCGATTGTTGCCTATTTTCATCCCTTTTCCTCACTTCTCTTCTCTTCCCCATACTTTTACAACATGTCATTTCATTTTTGCAATTAAAAAAATTGTTAAGAAGTTGAAGGACCTGAAGTTAAGGCTTAAAATCTAAAACAATGAATTGAATTACACTAATGAAATTATGAAAAAATTTATAAAAATAACAATCTGCAACATTTTCTTTATCAATTTAATCTCTTTGACACCTAAAATGGAGTGAAATCAAGAGAATTGAAATTGCCAGCGGTTCTCTTAGATCCTCTTAGAACAGGTTCTGAAAAAATTGCTGCGCTTGACTTATTACTCATATTTTTGCATTGTTTTAAACTTTACTCAGAAATGTTTGGTAGATTTCCTTTCGTGCCTGAATTTTTCTTTGCAGTTTTATAGTTGCGAAATCTTCAGAGCGGTAAAATTAAAATTATTCAGTCATTTTATTTCTTAACTTATCGAGTAGAAGTTTATTTGAAACGACGTAACTAATCTGATCATCATCTATTAAAGAATATCTCGGGCTCGTGATGACTCTTACAGGACGCAAAGTTCTAGCGGTTATTACCGGTAAGTGCCAGAAATTGTCAAAGTGAATCAGTTTTCGAAATATTTCCATCATTGTAAAAGGTCCAGGTTTATCAAGTAAAAAGTCCAGGTTTATCAAACTTTTCAATCTCTTCATGCTCCTAATATAGTGATGAAAATATTTCGAAAACTGAATCAAATAAATTAAATTTTGTAAACTTTCAAACTTCATTGAAGATTAAAATTTTCAATACCATACATGCCTAATTAAATTGATGTATTAACTCAGAAATAGACAGGAATTAATATTTGAAATTTTTAAGGTGCAAGTCGCGGTATTGGTCGTGAAACTGTGTTGCAGTTATCGAAAATTGTTGCCAAAGATTCCGCATTTTTAATTACTGCAAGAACAGCTACAAAACTTGAAGAATTGAAAGATGAAATTAAGTCCAGGTTTATCAAACTTTTCAATCTCTTCATGCTCCTAATATTTTTTTATTTATTGTCATTTAAACCAATTTACCATTTTAAAAAATCAATATAGTGCGAAGGAAATCCTTGTTCACGTCTTGGCTTGCGATGCAGAAAAATTGAATTCGGGCAAAATTCTAGAATTGCAAGGAGCATTATCGTCTCTGATAGGTTTCAGCTTCTTTATTTTATTTCATTTATTTATTTTCTCAGACCTTACGTAGGAAATTTGATTTTCTTACTTATTGTTGAAATTTTTGCTGTAAATTTTCAATTTTTAAGCTTCACATTTGATGCCATTACTATAACTAATATATTGATTGGCCAAATAATCTAAACGAAATTTTGAAAAAAAATTTTTTTTGTAGCAAATTCAAGAACATACGATGTATTGCTGTTGGTGCATAATGCAGGAACAGTTGGAGATGTCACCAAACGAGGTGTAGAAATTAGCAATTCGGATGATTGGCATAACTATTTGCAAATTAACTTTGTTTCAATGGTACTTATTAACAACTCAGTATTGAGTACTATTCCTGAACAGGTATAACACTTTTTTCTTTTCTTTTCGTATAATTTGATAGTTGAAGGAAAGGTTAAATAAAAGGCGTAGTAAAAAAATATTAAAGAACTGAAAATAACGATATTAAAACCGATGAAATTTCAGGTGGCTCCGATCCGTTATATTTTAAATGTAACATCGCTACTAGCTATAAAAGCATTCCCTTCTATGGCTCAGGTTATTTTTTATTCTAAATTCTACTCCTATTATTGATACCATATTTCTTGTTAATTTCATAATCGAATCTCTTCACTTGAAACCTCGAATTGCTTGATTAATTTCATACAGTTTGAAATCTGAAACAATGTAAATTCTTCAGTACTCTGTTGGAAAAGCTGCTCGTGAAGCATTCTTTCGAGCTTTAGCAGTTGAGGAGAGTAATTTACGAGTGTTGAATTATTCACCCGGTCCAGTGCAAACTGATATGCATAATGAAATTGCTAAAAAGTGAGTCAGCAAAATTTCTTGAAATTAATGATTCCCTATTTTAAAATTAGAATGATCTGTTTCGTACTGCAATACTGCAATGAAATGCGATAATTTGAAAGAAAAACTGAAAAATTATTATTTCTTATGAATAAATGAATGGCAGCAACTATTTGGGCTTTGTTAAAATCATTTGAACCTGTAATCAGAAAATTACAGATCATATGATGAAGGCATAAGGAAATCATTTCAAGCTCAAACTGGTAGCAGTGAGGTACTTATTATATATTTTTTTTTTCCATCTCTAAAATTTAACAACAAATTCCGTGCAAAACAGCATCTTGCAAGTATTAACTGAATAATTCGAAATTCCGAGGGAAACCAATGAAATCCTTTGGGAGATCAGAAATAAGTACAGCAAATAATTTTGAATTAAATTTTGAAAATTATGTTTAGGTGAATAGACAAACGCTTTCACCAAAAGAAACAACTCAAAAAATGTTGTCAATATTGGAGGAAGGAAAGTTCGAAAATGGCTCACGATATGACTTCTTTGATTCGTGATTTTCCTGCAAAAATTATACTTTCAAATTTTATTTCTTCAATGAAATTATATTTCGCAATATCGCAAAGCGCCGCTCACAGAAAGCCAGCTGGGTGAGAGACTATCATCGCATCATTTTGAAAGTGCTGCCGAAAAGTTCATATTGCATCCGCACCGAGTGCTCCCAGAGAAACCCATCACACATTTACAAACAAACGCTTCTTGCAACATATCTGCACACATATACATACATGCACACGCACATACACAGAGATAGAATGTATTCGTTTGCAATTAATGATTTTCCCAACCATCAGCAATACTATTTTCGTTGTTCTCGCTCATCTCTGCCGTCTCCACCCGGCGTACATTCTTTATTTGGCTCTAACATGGATTATTGTTGAGGCTCTAAACTTCCTGTCAAATAACTTTCTTCTAACTTTGCAATTTAAGGCCT